TCCAATTGCCGAGGGCCTCGATCCGCTCAGATTCCGCGATAATTCTGAGCCCACACCAGAAAATTGGGCTGGCTATACAAGCGGAGGGATGGCGTAAACGGTCGCACCACAAAGGCAGAGGGCTGGAACGCATGCGGCCACACGTGCATCCTGCGAACGTATGTCATAATCGTGCGACGGATTACGCTTAGCCGGTCGAAATATCACACCGTGGCATCACTGCACATCGTGGTGTCAGCAGGGCGGCATCGCTGCACAGCGTTGAATCAACCACGTGGCATCATAACATAGTGTGGCATCGGCAGAACGGCATCACTACACAGTATGGCATCAACAGCGTGGCATAGCGTGGTATCACACCGTGGCATTATTACACGGCGATGCCACGCTGTGGTACAGCAGCGCTGGTGTGATGCCACGCTGTGGTGACGCCACGCAGTGGTGATGTTAAGATGTTAGGGTGCTAGGATGTGAAGATGCCGCGCTGGGGTAGATGCCACGCTCTGGGATACCACGATGTGGTGATTCCACGTTGGGTGATGATGCCGCGCTGTGTAGTGATCAGATGTGGAAAGGAAAATTTCATCACCTCACTACGGCATGGCATCACCACAGCGTGAAATCAACCCAGGGTGGCATCCCCGAGCGTGGCATCACTACAGCGTGGTATCACTACAACGTGACATCCGACAGCGTAGCGTCGCCACAGCGCGGCATCGCCACAGCGTGGCATCACCATAGCGTGGCAACACCTCAGCGTGGCATCACCTCAAGGTGGCATCACCACAGCGTGGCATCACGACAGACACCACAGCGCGTCATCTACACACTACAAATCGTGGCATCACTGTGCACGTTGGACAGCATCACCACAGTGTGGCATCGCCACAACGTGGCATCACCACAGCCACAACCACCACAGCGTGGCCGCTGCTGCACAACGTGGCATCAAAAACACGCGGCATCACAACAGTCACCACAGCGCGTCATCTACATACTACAAATCGTGGCATCACTGCACATATTGGGCAGCATCACCACAGTGTGGCATCACCACAGCCACAGCCACCACAGCGTGGCCGCTGCTGCACAGCGTGGCATCACCACAACGTGGCATCAAACACAAGTGGCATCAACACACCGTGGCATCTACTGCACAGCGCGGCATCACCAATTACACACCGTGGCTTCAGGAGAGTGGCGTCACTAAACAGCGTGGCTTGACCAACGTGACATCAACACACAGAGTGGCATCAATCACGCGGCATCACTTCACGGCGTGCCATCACCAGAGCGTGGAATCACCGAACAGCATGACATCACCACACAGCGCGGCATCACCACACAATGTGACATCCCCAGAATGTTGCAACTACTACGCAACGTGGCATCACTACAGCACGTGGCATCCGACAGCATGGTATCCAAGACTCCACGCGATGCAGCGTGGCGTCTCTATATAGCGTGGCACAATCACAGCGTGGCATCTACTGCATACACAGCGTGGCACCACCACAGAACATGGCATCACTACATCTACGCATCACCACACATCGTGGAACGCTGTAGTGATGCTACGCTGTGGTGATGCCATACTGCTGATGCCACGCTGTGTGGTACTGCCACGCATTTGATGCCACGATGTGTAGCAAAACCACGCTGATGATGCCGGACTGTGTAGAGATGTCACGCTGTGTGATGAAGACACGCTGTCACAATGCCACGCTGCGATTGTTCGCGCCGCTGAGCGGATATGGACGAAATCGAAGCGAACGTATGCACATGGTTTGGAGCTCCTCTTGTATCCAACTCTCGCCCAGACTGGCCACGTCATGTGTACCCACCTCTCTGGAAGACTGCAGCTGGCTGGAGACATTATTTAGTGGGCGGTCAAGGAAACACTAATAATTATCAGAACGCCCCTTCCGTCCCCGATCGGTTGTGGGAATATTCCAGCCGTGAGACACAAAGAAACTGTGATTTCCAGCGCTGGAGCGTACACGACTCTGGGCTGATTGCCAGGAGTAATGTCTGAGACGAGTTGCGGGCATCAACGAGACAACATACAAGTGCCGCCGCTTACCTGCAAAACTCCTTGCGTCCCATCCTCCCCCTCTCTTACCCTATTCCTCCTTCTCCTCTTCCTGCCCAGGAAGAGATCGCTCTTGGAGACAAGGCCAAAACTGTCGAGCTCGAATGGCGCGGGGGCAAGAAGAACGCCCGCAGCGGCCCTCGCCATTCCGCTGCGCAGCATGCCTCGCTTCAGCGGTGTACCACCCAGCCCCCCCCCTCTGACCCCACATCCCGCTTCCTCTTCCTCTCCTCCTCCCCCCCCCCTACTCCCCTGTCTTCCTCCTCCCAGCTCCTCTCCCCGCCCCCCCTCCACCTGCCGCCACGTGCAGGGGCTGGCCGGGCTGGAGCGGCACCCGCGCGGTGCCCTGGGGGACCCAGAGATTTGCACGAGAACCCCTCTCGCCCATGGGGGGAAGAGCGGAATCACGTCGTGCCTGCACACAACAAAAACACTATCGCGGGGGGGGGAGGGCCTCGCTATATGTCACCCGCCGCCCTTGCCAGGGGCGGGGGACGTCTGCACTGCTGGGCGCCTCCTCTGTCAGGGTCCGCCTGACGGGCGCGACCTGGCCACGGCGAGGAGCACCGCTCCCTGGTGTCGCGCCCTGCGCGCGACCAACGCTCCCCCTCGTGCCGCGTCCGCGCCCTCCGGTGTCGAGTGTTTTTTTGCTCGGACGGCATCTCCTCGTAAGTCCAGCAGTCTGCACCCATGGGAAGCACAGACTGCACGGCACGACGGAGGCTCCTGGAAGCAGAGCCGCGCTGCCACAGCCAAGGTTCCACCCCCGCGACGGCTCGGGGAAACCTGATCCTCCTGTGCCGCATGCCCCGTGCCCCGGCCTACGGAGGAGCAGGGTGCCCGCGACACCCTGACCGACAGAGGTCGGCGGGGCATGGCCGGGAGCTTCTGCTCCACGCGCCAGAGGCGGCGGCCCCGGCGACACGCCATGCCCTGCGAGCGGGTAGCGTCTCGCTCCGCTCCGCGGTGCGGGACGCGGGGGAAAGCGCGGGACGCTGACGCTGGGGACCGGGAAGTGGATAGCGTTTAAACCAGAACTGGAGGCGCGGCACGCCGAGCCAAAGTTCCTGACCCTAGGTTGGTGGGGCAGGCTCCGCGGGTGCGCGCTCCCTGGCCCGTTGGGCCTGCGCTGGTGGCCCTGGGCTCCCGCCCAGACTCGTCGCCCCGTGTGCCCCGCACGGAGCCGAGGGGGGGAGCACCAGAGCCCCCGACCTGCAGGGACAGGCGGGAGGGCTCGGGGCAGCGCGAGCGACGCCGCCGTCTGAGGCTGGGGAAGCCAACAGGCACCAACACCGCCACTCTCTCCCGAGGTGCATTCCGACCGGGGCTTCGGGGCGAATCCAGGAAGGCCGGAAAAGGGGGAACAGCGGGGTTCCGAAGGGCAGAGGATGCGCGGTGGAGGCCAGGGCTCCGCAGGAGAGGTCGCCGCCCGCCAGGGTCGGACCGGCCGCGGCCGCGGGCACGGGACGGGGGGCCCAACGCTGCTGCTGCCTGCCCGCCCCGGCCACACGCACGCGTGAGCGGCCCCTGGGCAGGAGGGGCCCTCGGTGCGAGGCGCTCGAGGGCCGCAGGGGGAGCCGCTCGAGCGGCCTCTGGCGCGCGGCGCTCGAGCGGCCTCGGGTGCGAGGCCAGAGGCGAGCCTGCCAGGCGCGGCAGCCGGTGGTGGCGGGAGCCCCAGGCCCGCGCTGCGGGTCACGCCTGCGAAGGGCCACTCTTCCAGTGCGGGCGCGGCCGCGAGAAACCCTCGCAGGAAGCCCAACCCGGAAAGCCCCGCGAGGTGCACCCGAGGGGAAGCCCAGCGCACCCTGCACGCAGCAGCTTCTTCAACGGCTGCTGGAAGTCACCGCGCAGCCCGCCGCAGCCCTCGGAGCGAAGAAGCCCCGGATGCCATGAGAAGAATAACATATGGTTTCTTGATGCGCGCCCCCACTGTACGCGTCGCCTGCTCGCCCCCCTTCTGCGCTACTGGGGAAACCAAAAGTACCGATACCGCCACTCCCCGGACCTCTCTCGGGGCGCGTTCTGACCAGGATTTCGAGGCGAATCCAGCGGTGGCGACGAGGGCCTCCCAGGAGGCCCAAAAAGGGGAAAACGGGCGAAGGGTAGCGGTGGGGGTATGGGGTATGGGTACCTTTTCCTCCTCTGCGCCACCGCGTGCCTCCGGCACGGGGGGTTGGCGTCGGCTCGGGCCCACGGCGCTGCCGCGCCCGTGCGGGCCCTCGCGGCGAGGCCGCGAGGGTGCGCTCGCGCGGGCGCCGCCGGCCTGCTGCGCGTCTGGCCCGAGGCGCAGACGCTGCCAGCCTGCCGCCTGGAGGACCAACTCCTTCACGTCCTCTCTCCTCTCCCCTCCCCCCTCCCTTCTCCTCCGCATCCGACTCCAACGGCTCCTCTTCCTCTTCTCCTCTTCTCCTCTTCTCCTCTTCTCCTCCTCCTCCTCCTCCTCCTCCTCCTCCTGTTATGCCACCTGCTCCGCCCATTCTGCTCGCTCTCCTCCCTCTTTCCCCCGTCCTTCCTCCATCCCCTCCGCATGCTCACCATCCTGATCACACCCTGATCCTCCTTCTCGTTAACTATCCTCCCCTTCACCTCCATCTGTCATTTCTCTCCCCCTTCTAATTCCTCCCTGTTACTGCGTGATGGCGCGTCTACATCTGAATTCGTTGAACTGCTTCCTGAACCAAAACGTCGCCCGCGTAGGACTAACGAAAACATCAATGCCGCCGTTTTGACGCTCCCGTCGAACTCTGACTGCTGGGCAGGGTGGCCAACCCTCCCCAATTAAACTAAACAAGCCTAGGGGTGAACATGATCTGCCACCCTCCTCCTCCTCCTCCTCCTCCTCCTCCTCCTCTTCTTCCTCCCACTCCGTGTCTGTCTACAGTGCAGCAGCGGAGAGCGGCAAGGTGGCCAGTCTTTGCTGGTGCAAGACGTCTGGGATCCCGTCGCCGTTGCTGTCGATACCTGCCCGCCACTGGAACATGCGCTCGGCAAGATTAGGTTACCGCCGTGATGAGCAGGAGGAGCAGTACGGTCGAGGCGGGAGTAGAGGGAGGGGGGTCTGAGGGGCAAGACGAGAGGAGGGAAGAATGAGGGGCGGAAGGCCGCAGAGCGCATCTCCGCTCTTCTACGCATGGATATCGAATCGAATGCCATGCGCCGCGGGCAAGACGCCGACCGGAAACCTGGGGCCGCCATTGGACGAGGAACGAACTGGCGGGCGGCTCGAGGACGAACAACATATCCGTATCCGCGGCCGCGCGGGCCGGGCCCAGGGGCCGCGATATCCTGCAAATGCGGGGGCGCTCTTCGCGGCTGCCACGCGCGCGGAACGTAGCCGTGCGACCGCGCATCCCTGGGATCGCGCCCCAGAGACCAGGCCCGCGAGAGCGCGGATACGGATATGTTCGCCGCTCGCGACGGGCGGGGGAAGAAGCGGGTAGGGTTCCAACCAGCGACGAAGAAAGCACTGCGACGGGCGCCTGCCTTTCGTCGTCGCCACGCGGGGGGGGGGCGGGAATGTCTCCTCGTACAAAAGACAGGGACAACGAGGAGGACGGGAGGCGGGAACATAAAGAACGCATGACACAACAAGCCCCAGTGTTGTTTGGGCGCCCGAATTATCTGGGGTAACTCGGGCCTGGGGCAACTCGGGTTCGGAATCCCGAAAAACGAACCTGAGTTCGCCCTGACCCGAATTACACCTGATTGCTCGGGGCTCTGAGTTGTGTTGCATCTTTGGGGGCCCCGTTGCGTCCCTATCCGCGTCGAGTACGTGCCGAAACCATGTCGTACTCGTCGAATCCGCGTCGAATCCACGTCAGATCCACGTTGAGTTCGCATCGAACCCGGGTCGGGCACAAGAAACAACGTCAATTTGGGGGAAAGACGAGGCCCCCCGAAGATGCAACGTAACTGGTGTCGCCAGGCGGGGCAGGCGTTCCTGCAAAGGAAGCAGGCGAGCATGGATCACGCAGGCCATCCATGAAGGCTTTAGGACCGCTGCGATAAGCATGACAAGCTTGCCGAGGCCGCGCGGGTAACCCTATATGTGACACGCAGGCACGTACACATACTGTCCTCCTTGGAGGCGCGCGCCCGACCCGAACACATGGTATACACATCTTGTAGTATATCGTTTCCCGAGCGGTGTGGTCAGCAAGCGCCCGCCACGACGTATATAGTTACTATGAGATTTCTCGGTGCGCGCGTCGCCCTCAGGGGGGGTGACGCAAACATGGGCGATTTCGGAAACCCTGAACCCCAAAACGTTTTCATCTCTTGAGGGCGCATCTGTTACTTCCGCCACATTCCGCCAGCCTTCCGCGGGCTTCCGCCAACGGAGGCGGCCTCGCTTTACTGCCGCCGACCTTCCGCCGCCTTCCGCTGAGGAAGAGATGGCAACTCCTTCGATCCTCGAAGTATAAAGGCGCGACGCCGACTATAGCGTGCTGTGCACAACATCGCGACCACACTCCCTGCGCGCATTGGCGCTCGGCACTCGGACAGCCCACAAGCTCCAACTAGCACACTTCGTGGTTATCAAGAAGCTTGAGACATCATTCGGTCTTCCCGTCAGTAGAAGCCATGTTGAACCTGACTTTCCCATTTGACCGGCTCGCGCGCCAACTGCGGTCCCTAATTCGCATAACTCGCAAGGTCCATCTTTTTTGTTTCGCCTCTCGCGCCTGGAGCGCCGTCAAAAGCGGCCGGCGGCGCCAGCCCACCCGTGCCCGAGCGCGGCGCCCGTGCGGGAGCAAGGGGAGGAGCGGAGGTGTGAATAGGAGAAAGAAGGAAGAAGGGAGCAAGGGAGATGAGTCCCAAGGGGGACGCGCGCTCTGGCACCGGCGGCTGACTCAGTGCCTCGGGGGCTTCCAAGCAAAAAGGGACTGCATGATCATCGCCCCCATCAATAATTACAATCTGGACTGGAAATGCCGTCCGATATCTTGATGCCTCCAGCGTTCACCGAGTACTTGTAGCAGCTCTTCCCGTCGAGCGTGCAAGTCTGTGAGACAGTCGGCGTCGCTGTCTTGCCACTGATCGTTATGCCAGTCGACGCGCCCGCGGGCCACTCACCGCCCTCCGTGCAGGTCGGCGAACCGCCCGAGGTGATGTTGCAGTTGTATTGCAGGATGTTCTCGCACGTCAGCCCCACGCACGTCTCTGGCGGGCCCAGGAGCGTGGCTACAGGACAGCAGCCGCCGTCGCCGAAGTCTTTGAAGGCGATCGGGCACCCGACCTTGCCCGGGGTGGGCTCCACGACGTCGCCGAACAGCGGCTTGCACTTCTGGTCCGAGGTGCACGTGCTGGTCACCGAGCAGCAGCCCGTCCCGCACTTCACGTCCACGATGCCGCACCTCGCAATCCGGGGAACCCACCCCCCGCTCGGCGTGTCGGAGCGGCTCCGCGCCTGCGCGCTGCGGCCCGCCGCCTGCAGCAGCCCCACCCCGTCGCTCTCCTCGGCCGCCGCGGCGCAGCCCTCGGGGGGGGGCGCCGCCCCGGCCGCCGCCAGGACGAGCGCCATGGCCGCGGCGACCCGGGTGGGGAGCGCCATCGGGCGGTCTGCCGCGCGAAGGGTCAGATTGCCAGGTCTCAGCAAGCATTGCGAGAATATTTCTTGCGTCTTGGAAAATGAAAACCTCGCCTGCCCGAGCGCGGGCGCTATGAAGACGCGGACGCGCACGGGCGCGCCGCCCAGGTAACACGCGTCACCACCACGGGGGCCTATCTAACGAACGGCCCCGCTCGCGCGAACACGCGCCAACGGCGATGGAAACGATCGAAACGCGGCGAAAGGAACAGTTGCGCCTTGCGCTGGCCGAAGCACCCGTCGCCTTCCGGCAGTCCGGCTCGCCTGCATGCGGCGCCGCCGCGCCTGCTTCAAAATCGCGACCAGCGCGGGATATCCCAAGCCTCCAGACGCCCGCCTGGCACTATGAGGCGTTCGCCCCAGCGTGTGCGAAAGCGCCAAAAAGCAGCACGCGGTGGCCTGCGGCCACTTGCGAACGGCGCCCCCGCACCTGCAGGACAGTTTCGACCACGGGCGGGGCTCGCGCGACCCCAGACGTCCGCGCGGCATTCTGGTGCACGCGCCGCTAGGCGGGCGGGCGCGCCGAAAGGCATGGCGCGGCGGCATTATTGTTCACATGCGGCGGCCGCCAGATTGCGACGAGGCGCTCGCAACGAGGCACTTTTAGAACCCCCGCGCCTGCAAGGTTGGAGCCACGGCGCGGCACATTCGAACAAAAGTTTTGGCCTTCTCCAGTTTGGGCGCGCGGCCCCGAGGGCGCGGCGCTTCGGTTTGCCCACTGCTTCGGCGCCAATGGGGCGCAACTGGGCAGTGCCCCAGGGGGGCGAAACTGCCCAGAAACGCCACTGCGACAGATCCGGCCTGCGGATTCATGCCTGGCCCGCGCCATGCTTTCGAGAAGTATTTGGTCGTGGGCCGATTTCGCGATTGGCTCGTGCTGCAGCAAACAAAAAAAAAACTGGTCCGAGCCTCCTCCGCCTCCTCCGCGCTCTCCTCCCTCCTGCCCTCCCCCCCCCCTCCCCCGCCCTCCCTCCCCCTTCTTCCTCCCCCGTTTGGTCCCCCCTCCCTCCCGGCCCCCGCCCCCTTTTCTCCCTTGCCCCTTCCTTTCCCTCCCTTCCGCCCCTCCTCCGCCCTTCTCCCTCTCGCGCAGGCCGCGCCCCTGACCCCGCTGCTGCCGCCGTCTCTGCCCCGGCTCCGACTCGCGCCCCGCGCTCGGGAAGCGGTCGCCGGCGCCGACGGGCACCGCCCACGGGCGCTGGCGGGCGAACGCAAGTGCCCCGCCAGCGTTGGCAACCACTCCCAAGCGACCACGGGCGCCGACCGGCGCTGGCAGGCGTTCCTCCTCCACCTTCCTCCCCCTGCCCCCATCCCTCCCCGCCCCTCTCTTCCCCCTCGCAACCCTGCCCCGGCGCCTGCGCCAGTTCCTCCCGCCCCTGCTGCTGCTAGCGTCGGCAGCCCCTGGCGAGAGAGCAGAGACCGTTTCTCCTGCGAGAGCGCGACGCCCAGTAGCTTCGCCAGCGTTTCCCCCATCCGCTGGCCCCGGCAGTGGCCCCACAGAGGGCGGAGTGTTTGCGCGGGCCCGCTTCGAGGCCGTTCGCGCCGCCTGCGGCCCCGTCAGAAACAGGCGGCACGGCTCTCGATCGCGGAGGCACATGTGACACGTAGTCTCGTACACACACACACACGACAACAGTAAACATGTTCAGAGCATCGTGCCATATACCATATTATGATCACACGTACGTACTTCAATGCTGCGGAATCCTCGGACGGGTGCCTCCGGCGAACGCCTACCCCTAACGACCGCTGGCCTTCCTCTTCACAGAGAACATGTCCAGGGCACTCTGGACCTCACTGGCCCGGCCCCTCTTCGCCGGCGCCTTCGCCCCGCTCGCCGGCTCGCCCGCGCCGTGTTTCTTGGAGCTCGGCGTGGCGGCGCAGGCGGCCGAGCTGGCGGAGGAGGCGCCGGCGTTCTTCTCAGCCGCGGCCTTGGTCTTCCTGTACTTCTCGGCGGAGCCTGACGGCAGCAGCCACTCGAAACGGCCCACCAGGTCCAGGTCCTCCCACTTGCACTGGCTACCCTTCTCGTGCGCCAAGTCGACGCAACGCTGGGCCGCCTGCTCGCCAACGAACGCGGCGCCGTCGGGGCCCGGCAAGCGGCAGAAGAGGGGGATTCTGAGCTTCACCTTGTTCAGGAAGTCCGTCATGTGCTCGTCCCACTTCGGCGCGCGGCCCTCTGCGGCCTGGTGCACGGCGGCGACGGCCGCGCGCACCTGCCCCTGGCCAGTCTCGCTGCAGAACTGGTACACGTCGCTGGACTGCAGCAGCTCCAACTTCTGCACGACGTCCTCGATCTCCACGTGCTTCTCCTGCGTCGGCAGAAACGACATCACGTCCCCCTTCAGCTTCTCCAAGCCCTTGGCGCCAACCATGGCCTCGAAGAACGCAACCTCGATGCGCCAGGTCGGGTCGCTGCCCAGAGCCTTCTTCAGGTACTTTTGCAGGTGCTGGACGATCGCCGGGCCCGACCGGGTGAGGTCCTCCGAGAAGCTGGTCTCCATGCTCTCCCGCACGACTTTGTTATCCTTGTACAGCTTGCTATCGAGGCGGTCGGCGTAGTCAGCGAGCGGGGCGGCCCCGCTCAAGCCCATCTCGCCGAATAGGGCAGGGACGATCTTCGCGCGGACCGCGTTGCTCTTCCAGCGTGCCGCGAAGACGTGGTCGATGTGGTCGTTCAGAGTTTTCACGGGGATCGACAACTTCTGGAACAGGTACGTGATCTGAACAACCCTCTTGTCCTCCAGCTTCTTCAGCACGTCTTTGCCGGTGAGCAAGGTGTACGCGGCCTGCTTGGCCTTGAGCAGCGACGCCGGGGTCACCTTGTCCTTGCTGTTGAAAAGCGCGTCCGCCGACTCCTCCAATGTCCTCTCCACGACCTCGTTCTGCACCGAACGCAGGCCAGAGCCGAACAGGCTCATGCCGATCTTCCGCTCCACGGCCTGGCAGGCGGTTCCGATGACGTAACTCACTGCTCCCATTTCCCTCTGCCCCCGCCCTGGCCTACCCAGCCCTTGCCCTCCCCCTTTTTTTTTTTTTTTTTTTTTTTTTTTTTTTTTTTTTTTTTTTTTTTTTTTTGTTTTTTTTCCTATCTACACATGCTGGCGTCTGGCGGGGTTCGGCGTTAAAACTGTTAAACGCTATTGGGGGCCATCCGCAGGGCTCGCGACGGCTCGCGCGCCGCCGACGAGGCAAGCACCCCGCAGAGTTGCTCCGCGACCGTGGCCGAAATTCTGGCAACGGAAACAGAGACGCTGAGCAGGCAAGCGCGACCTACGCCGGGGGCGGGCCTCACATCGAGGATAGGCTGGCACACCCAGAAACGGGAAGAGGAGCCCCGCAAATGCGACAACACGCAACCAAAATGTCACGAAATGCGGCCTGCAAGTGCGGTCGGGGAACAAGGACGAGGAGGAGAACGAGGGGGAGGAGGACAAGAGAGCGGCGAAAAGGCAGGCACGACCAGCAGTGGCACATTTCTGATCCCGTATGGCCGACCATCGACGATTGGGACAAGGCCGCCGGGGGCGAGTGACCACTTAATACCTGAGGCAGCACCGCCAGGCGACGCCGCGGGGGCGTGTTTTTGCAGACCCGCGGGTTTCACCAAAACCCGCTGGTCTGCAAAAACACGCCTCTTTTTTGCAGACCCGTCCTCGTCCCTCTCCTCTTCCCCTTCCCCCTGAATGTGGTGACGTTAACCCGGCCGGCCAATTCAGTTCTGCTCGCCAGTGCGTTTTTTGAGGTTTCGTGCCAATTACGTGCCCGAATGCTTCGTGCAGTTCTTTAGCCTGAATGAGTTTCGGTGGCGCCTACCTTCCTTCGTCCCTCTTGTCCTCCCTCCTCTCGGCCTTCCTTCCTCTGTGCCTCCTCCTCGTATGTGCCACCTTAGCTCTGCCTTGAGTTCGTGTTTGTTGTCTGATTTCGACCCGTCCACTCCAGCCATGCGTCCTGGAGAGGGAGCCACGGGGGATGGCGATTGTTTGACATCGGCGGGGACACAGTGATCCCACGCCGCCCATCGGTCGCCGCTGATCCGTCGAGCAGGATTCAGGACCAGTTGATGCTTCACCACCACCACCACCTCCTCCTCCTCCTCCTCCTCCTCCTCCTCCTCCTCCCCCTCCTCCCTCCTCCACCCTCCTCCCTCCTCCTCGTCTCCCTCCCCGTTTCGCTGGGGCCAGGCCCGCAGAAGGCACGGACCTCGGGATCCGGACCGCCCCGGGACGCCCAGCAGTGAATGGTTTTTGTACGAGTACGTTCCCAGACAGGCACGCCTGGGCCAAGTCGCCGTGGACCTCCGTCCACGTCGACGCCTGGAGGAGGCGCTCCACGGACTCCCGCGGCAATACGAGGTAGGCGATGTCCGAGTGCGACTCCAAGAACTTGCTGGGCTTCGCGTGCTCGCCGAGGGCGCTGGCGTAGAGGGCCTCCAAGACCTGGTCGAAGAGGTCCAACATGAGGGCGGTCTGCTCCGGGAAATGCGCCGGGACGTCCAAGCGCTTGAAAAACTCCATCAGCTCTCTCCCATAGCGTAGCTGAATTTCGATGTGGATTTCGATGTGGATTTCATGTGGATTTGGGGAGGCCGTGAAGTGTGTGAGGGGTGCCAGAAAATCGGGCCCAGATTTCCACTTCGAATCCACCTCGAAATCCACTTTCGAAATCGAGCCCGAAATCACCGTCGAAATCCACGTAGGAATCCACTTTCGATATCCACGTCGAAATCCACCTCGAAATCCACTTCGAAATCCACCTCGAAATTCACATATCCTCAAGACACCCAGGATGGCAATATTCTGTGAGCGGACAACAGAGGGAATAATGGCATGCATGGATTTTTGTGTACAGTTGCCTGGCAGGCGCGCCGGGCATCACGGGCGGGCAGGGCGAAAGTCTCGCAACGAAACTGCCCTCGACCTGGCCCGGCCCGGCGGCAGGCGCTCAATCAAGGCCACCAGTGCGGGAGGTGGCTCCCAAGCACGCAACTCTGCCGCCGAGAAGATGTAGTCGTGCAGTGGCTGTGCTTTCCAGATATTGTAGTAAAACTGAGATTTGCGCACCCATGCCTGAGCCAAGGTGAGGGCGCCTTCTTCTCCGTATAGTGTCACATTAAACCGCTGGGCCGCCTGGAAGCCGTAAGATACAGCAAACTTGCTCGCCTGGCTCTGACGCCTGATCACTGTCCCTTGATACGCATCGTGGCTGACGCCACGATGCACCATCGTCCAGAGGCCTCCCAAAACATTCACGTGGAAGTCCTCGTCCACCTCCACAGTGTCCACGATGAGCTGTCTCGCTTCGCTGAGAGCAGCGAAGAGTTCATCCAAATCCTCGTCGCTGAGGGCCCCCACGCCGAAGTCGTCGTGGTCGTCCGCGCCTTCAGGCCGTGCAGACGCCGAGCTGGGCTCCGAGCGAGCCTGGGGGGTGGTCCGCCGCCGACCTGTGCCAGCGGACGTGTGGTTGGGGTGCGTCTCCACTACGCAGCAAGGAGCAGACCCCGAAAGGGCGCACCTAGGCACTGAACCGCGGAGCTGGTTGCTCGCAGTATCCCTGACGCAGCCACAACTGGCCGCCTGACCTCCAAGGGCTTCATCCCCCCGACATCGGATGGCCAAAACGATGTGCCTGGAAGCCCCTCCGGGCACGAGAATATTCGCTGCGCCCCGAGGCCCCGGCACGCCGCCCACTGCACTGCATAGCATAGCATAGCATAGCATAGCATGAGCATAGCATGAGCATAGCACAGCATAGCATAGCATACCATAGCGCAACCTAGCATAGCACAGCGTAGCTTAGCATAGCACAGCGCAGCATGACACAGCATAGCTTAGCACATCATAGCATAGCATAGCATAACATAGCGCAGTACAGCATAGCATAGCACAGCATAGCGCAGCATATCATAGCATACCGAAGGCCCTGCACGCCTTCCCCCGTTCCCCCCCTCCCCCCCTCCTCCTCCTCCTCCTCGTCCTCCTCCTCCTCCTCCACCTCCTCCTCCTCGTCGCCATTCCCCTGCCCCCCCGCCCCCCCCCCTTCCCAGGGCCCCACCTCTCTGCAAAATAACAAGAAGAAGCCAGCAGAGAGGCGCGCGTGGAACGCAGAGCGCCGCAGGTGGGCCCCTCGTGGTCCATGGCAGACCAAGGCAAGCCTAGGTAGCGCACTCGGCACTACGGCGTGGGACCCTCGGGCGCCCCCAGGGAACGGAGCCTCGGCGACAGGCCAGCTTGCGCGGGCAATTCTCCCAGAACGCCCCCTGCCGCCCCTTCCCCCGGGAGACGCCCCCAACCCCAGACTGCGTGGCGCATTCCGGCGGCAAGCCCGAACCTGCTCCAAGAAGCGTTTCAAGTACGGCTTGACCTTGCTCAGGTCCTCGTGCCACGCCTCGCTCGCCTCCTTTTTCGGGGCCGCGGGGCGGGGGGGGAACTGTCCGAGCATGGCGTCGAGAGGTTGCCAGCCCGATCTGGCGCCGACCTTGGCGCCCCCCAGGTAGCGGGCGCCCGTGAGCACGGCGACGTCGGAGGCAGGCACGTCGGGGAGGTCGTCCGCGCTTGCGAACTGGGCGAAGTCGGTGGTGAACTCGATCGGCCACTGCCCAGAAGCAGCATCCAGCGCCTCCATATTGAAGACGCCGACCAAGGCCGGCCGCACAGCGTGGTTGAGACGAGCGAACACGACCGTGGCCGGACTCTGCATGGCGAACAGGAACAACAAGTACAGCTCGTCGGTGCCGACAGTGACCTTGAATACTGTCTTCCGGAAGGACGCGCGCTCCTGGGCGACCCGAGAAGCCCAGGGTGGGGGCGCAGGGCGGCTGCTCTCTGGCAGCGGCGCCACGGGCATCTCCCCCAAGGCCTGGAAGAAGGCAGCGCCGGGCATGCTAGCCTCTTGCACCGCGGCCCTCCGAGCGAGCACGTCGACGTCGCGAAGCTGCCGCTGGTCCCCGAACGCGCCCTCAAGTCTGGCGGCCTGCTCTGTGGACAACTTCGCAGAGACCAGGGTCAAGGGCGGCCCTTCGGCTCTGAGCGCCTCCATGGCCTTCTCATGGCGCTCGGTGAGCTCTGCAAGACGACGCTGGCTCTCCTCGATGCTGTTGGAAGTGGCGCGGATTGCCTCCGCCTGCGCCCGCACTACGACAGCGTCGTACTCGCGGCGGCGCTCGGCACTGATGTTCTGAAACATAGCGGCCCCTTTGGCCAGGAGATCCTGCTGCAGGTTGGGGCAATGGCGTTTGATCTTGCCCTGCGCGCGCCACTGCGTGCATAGCTCGATCAAGTCCTTGATGTACAGCGATCGCGCGTTGAGCCTCCGAGGGCGCTTTGCTCGAAGCCGTTCTAACGTAGCCCTCTCCTTGTCGAACGCTTTCTCGTCTGCGGTCGGGCTCGGCATCAACGCGTTCACGAGGGAGCAAAAAGCCCTGACGCGCACGGTCTCCAGATCGTATTCGGGGTGGAACCGAGCATGCACCGCTGCGTGGGCGTGCATCTGCTCAACGATGCGAGTCGAAAAGCTAGTCTCCTTCAGCAACTCCAGAGCGGACCAGATGCGCGGCAAGGGTGCCAACCTCTTCCGGCCGAGCCTCCAGATTCTGGCCGCCACGTCCTCGTCGGGCTCATCGCCCTGCAGCAGCTCACCGACATTGGCCCTGACGTCACCCATGGCCAAGCAGAGCGGATACTCGTTCAACTTTCGTAAAGATCTGAACCATATGAACGCTCGCAACACGTGAGCAGCCCCCAAGACGTCGCACCGCAGATCGAACCCGCTCATGCCAGGGCACGCCACAGCCAAGAGATCGTAAACCTCCGAGCTCATGGAACAAAGGTACTCAAACTCATCATCCATTGCCTCGGTCACAGCGTCGATCTGCTTCATCAACCTGTCGTCCCTCAGTAAGAGCTGGAATATCTCATCCGGCAGCCACGTTGTCAGGGACGCGACGAGGATGAATCGGCGGTGAACGTTCGGCAAAATGCGACGAAAACCTCCGATGTAGTAAGTAGACGTGTGTGGCATTTCGATAATGCGCTGGCACACCAGGTCGAGACCGGAGAGGAAGCCGCAAGTGATCGGTCTGCAGGCGCGGCCTACTGTGAGCCACCTGCTTTCGCTGAACTGAACAAACTTCCAGAGGCCCAGCAAAGCTGCGCTCAACTCTTCGAGAAAACCCCCATGCTGGGAGGACGAATCTGAAACAACTAGCTTTTCGCCTGCGCGGAATATCCGGTGAGACACCAAGAACTCTAATATGCTGTCGTGAACTCCCAGACTCATCCACACCTGCCGCAACACGCCCTGGCACGGGAGATGGGCATCTGGTTTGAATTCAACGACTTCCCCCAAACATCGCGCAACCGAACCCAGTATGAGGTCGTACCCGTTCCGCAAAGATTCGATACCGATGTGAACATCACGCAGCAACTCTGGCTCAGCTGACCAATGGTATAGGGCCCATTTTTGTGCGTTTTGTACGTCATGCAAAACACAAGGCAACGTGATGGGCCATTCTGTGAGGTACAGCAGCTCTTGCTGGGAGGCGTCTTGGACGAGAAGATGCTGTCGGAGAAGGTATTGCCGAAACAGCCGGTCCAACGCGGTATACAAAGCGCGGTCGAACACCCTCACTTCCAGCGCAATGCCCTTGTGGCCTTGGGAACGCAATGGTTTCCAGGCTTGCAGAGAACACGCAAATATCGCAACTGCCGACTTGCCACAAGTCAGCGGCATCGGATCGGTAATTTTTATTGCCGTCTCTAGTAGGCCGCCGTGCCGTTTCCTACAGAAGCTTCCCTGCACAAGGAGTTCAGATCCTCTGTGCCCGCTGCGGCGAAATTTCTCGCCCTGCAACGCCAGTCGAGCATACACTTTAGTGCGGATGGGCGTGCCGTCGTTGCAATAAATTTGCAGTATAGTCGCATCTACATCGCGAGTGACAAACGAATCGTACAGGGATGCAAAAAAAGACTTCGCCACCTCCGTGAGGCGGCGGCATGATCGGAACACATGTGCCGCCAAGGTCTGGCTTGATGCGGCGTTACAGCTGAGCACGCCCTGCATGTCGGAAGCCACAACGAAAATGTCGAGCCCAAACGGCTACGGAGCGAGCCGCGCAATGTGACACATGCAGACTCAACGTCCCCAATCAGCGGATTCTACTGCAAGTATCGTGGGCGCCTGTGGGAGGGCCGGCGGCTGCGCCAACCGCTCGAGTTCGACATGCATTTCCGCAGAGCGGTAACGAGACCCCGATTTGTCATTCCAGTTCCCCCCCGCCCTCCGACGACAACTCGCCCCCTTCCTCCTCCACGTCCTCCTCGCTTTTGGCTTCGTCGTCCTCCCCCTATTCATCCTTGTATTCCCCGTCCCGCCTTCCCTTTTCCTCTTCCTCATCCCCCTCCCCCGAGTCTTCCCCATGCCTCCTCCTCCTCTTCCTCCTCCTCCTCCTCCTGTTCTTCCTGGCGTTCCTCCTCCTGCCCCTCCCCTTCGCCCCGCCCCCCTTTCCACCCCCGATCCACCACCTCCTCCCTCATCCCACCCTTGTCCGTGATCCTGCCCCTCCTCGTCCTCCTCGCCCTCATCTCCTATCTCCTCGCCCTTTGCCCGTCGTCCTCCGCCATCTGTTCACTATGCTGCTATTGTTATTGATCCTGCCACACCTCCTCCTCCTCCTCCTCCTCCTCCTCCTCCTCCTCCTCCTCCTCCTCCTCCTCCTCCTCCTCCTCTTGTTCCTCCTCCTCTTTTTCCTCCTCCTCTTTTTCCTCCTCCTCCTCCTCCTCCTCGTCCTCCTCCTCCTCCTCGTCCTCGTCCTGGCCCTCGTCCTCCCCTTCCTCCTTCTCCTTCCTCCTCCTCCTCCTCCCCCTCCTCCTCCTCCTCCCCCTCGTCCTCCTCCCCCCCCCCCCTCCGCTGAGTGCGCCAAACGGACGGGGGCATTTTCTGCATAGCCTTCGCTTCGCAGGGCCATCTAAAAACGCGCGGCTCGGCCAGCCAACAAGCAACCGACCCTGGGGTTCAGCCCAAAACGTCGCCGACTCTGCCTCGGCTCCGCCGATCCCGAACCCAAGTGGGGGAGAGGAGGTAGACGGGCGGGATATAAAAGACGGGGGACGGGAGAAACGATCCCTGACTCGATGGAGAAATACTCGGCGCTTGGGGGTCCTGGACCAAAAAATTGCCAGGGCCAATCGACAGACTGCCGAATTGGGCAAGGGGCCAATTCAACTTCCAATAATCGTTTTGCCGGCTCGGTCGTTCGAAGTGCCAGCTGGTTTGCTGGCTTGCGCTCGCCGGCGTTCCTACAACGCCGCTGCCTCCTTGATCCACCCCCATAAGTCGGAGAAGCATCCTCGAAACCAACATGTAGATTTGGGCGGTCTGACGTCGGCCAAGGCCGACGGCAAGATAACGTAGAATATGACAATCGCCCCCCGCCCATAACATTGGATGCCAACTGCTGCAATGACCTCAGGGCGAGGAAGAATGGAGCACGAAACGTTCTGACCCACAAATGGTTGAATCTGCATGCCTCGCGTCAGACGAAGAGCCGCCGTTACGACGAACCGACAAATTTACCCTGGAGACGGCAAGTCAACAAAAACTACACTGCCTGGATCACTGCGGATTGCCGCGCCGATCCGTGACTTCTCTGCCTGGAACTAATGCGAACGAAAGAATCCCAAACAAATTGACCCATCGCCGAGGAAAGCCCGACCAAAAAAACACCCCCCGTCTGCCACCGACAAATCTTGCTCGCTGCTGCTGCGCCCGACCGGTGCCCTGCCAGGGTGCCAGAAGAGGAGGGAGAAGGTACGTTCCAAGAGAGCGAAGGAAATTAGTCTGTGCTGGAAGCGGGGGGGGGAGAAGGGGATCGAACCCCGCGGGAAACCCCCGAACATGGCGTTACGACAGAACGCGGCGTGGGGGATGGGGGGGAGGATGGGGGGAGAGGGTGAATGGAGAAAAGAGGGAGGAAGATATTCACGAGAATGAGAAGCAGCAACACAAGGGGAGAAGATGACGCGGAAGGAAAACGGAGGAGGATGAGGGCGAGGAGGATGTTGCTGATGAGGGGGGAGGGGGGAGGGGTAATAGGATGATGAAGGAAATGCCAAGGGCGAGGAGGCGTGCGTTGACGAGGGGGCAACGCGAGCGGGAGGAGGACGAGGGGAGCGAAGAACTGGGGAGGATAAGGGGGATGAGGAGTAACAACAACATCAGCAACAGCTGAACGAACATATCGAGCAGGCGAAGAAGGGGGAGAGGGAGGATGTAGGTTTTTTGCACACTGCGCACGCGTTGAAATCACATGGGAAACGCTGGCAACACTAGCCGATGCTACGCAGGACCGCTGGGAAGGACGCGCAATCAACATTTCCGTTGCGATTTTCGAACACGGTTCCATCGCGCCTCGCCGGCTCTTTGCTTCCGCCGAACAATTTCGAAATCCACCCAGGATTCATTGCTGAGACGTCGTAACCTGAGAAGGGGGGCGGGGCGCGCACCTGCAGAGGCCTTGAGCCAAAACGGCTACGGGAACTCGCTAGGTCCATCTTGAACCCACCATGGTGAACACAAGTCCAACCATTGAAACTTTCTGAGCAAATTGGATCGAATCAGCGAGCAACTCCTGGTTTCCGTGATTTGGCCAGGACATCACGAGCCGACCTCTGGATGTAAGACACGTCTGATTAAACTTTGTTCCTTGATGTCCCTTGTTTCAGGTATCGGAACCAAGGTATTTGATCTGCCACCATGACGCCCACACACTCTCGATGGCCCCAGTGCGAGCAATGGCATGGATTGCTTTCCCCATTGTTTCCCCCCAGAAGTGCCGAACTAGATTGTCCAGCAGATGAGTGTTGCTGCATGGTCGGAGCGGTTACCAACCCGATTCTCAAGCCCGTGGTGCCTATCCTAGCGACAAATGAAGGGTATCTTGGGCCGTCTTGCGAGCGGCTCAAGGACGAGCAACATATCCGTATCCGCGGCCGCGCGGGCCGGGCCCAGGGGCCGCGATATCCTGCAAATGCGGGGGCGCTCTTCGCGGCTGCCACGCGCGCGGAACGTAGCCGTGCGACCGCGCATCCGCGGGATCGCGCCCCAGAGACCAGGCCCGCGACGGCGCGGATACGGATATGTTCGCCGCTCGCGACGGGCGGAGGAAGAGGCGGGTAGGGTTCCAACCAGCGACGAAGAAAGCACTGCGACGGGCGCCTGCCTTTCGTCGTCGCCACGCGGGGGGTGGGGGGGCGGCGCAAAAGACAGGGACAACGAGGAGGACGGGAGGCGGGAACATAAAGAACGCATGACACAGCAAGCCCCAGTGTTGCTTGGGCGCCCGAATTATCCGGGGTAACTCGGGCCTGGGGCAACTCGGGTTCTGAATCCCGAAAAACGAACCTGAGTTCGCCCTGACCCGAATTACACCTGATTATTCGGGGCTCTGATTGTGTTGCATCTTTGGGGGCCCCGTTGCGTCCCTATCCGCGTCGAATACGTGCCGAGTCCATGTCGTACTCGTCGAATCCGCGTCGAATCCACGTCAAATCCACGTTGAGTCCGCATCGAACCCGGGTCGGGCAGAAAAAACAACGTCAATTTGGGGGAAAGACGAGGCCCCCCGAAGATGCAACGTAACTGGTGTCGCCAGGCGGGGCAGGCGTTCCTGCAAAGGAAGCAGGCGAGCATGGATCACGCGGGCCATCCATGAAGGCTCTAGGACCGCGACGATAAGCATGACAAGCTTGCCGAGGCCGCGCGGGCAACCCTATACGGGACACACAGGCACGTACAATAACTGTCCTCCGTGGAGGCGCGCGCCCGACCCGAACACATGGTATACCCATCTTGTAGTAGATCGTTTCCCGAGCGGTGTGGTCAGCAAGCGCCCGCCACGACGTATATAGTTACTATGAGATTTCTCGGTGCGCGCGCTGCCCTCTGGGGGGGTGACGCAAACATGGGCGATTTCGGGAACCCTGAACCCCAAAACGTTTTCATCTCTTGAGGGCGCATCTATTACTTCCGCCACATTCCGCCAGCCTTCCGCGGGCTTCCGCCAACGGAGGCCGACCTTCCGCCGCCCTTCCGGCGCCTTCCGCTGAGGAAGAGATGGCAACTCCTTCGATCCTCGAAGTATGAAGGCGCGACGCCGACTATAGCGTGCTGCACAACATCGCGACCACACTCCCTGCGCGCATTGGCGCTCGGCACTCGGACAGCCCACAAGCTCCAACTAGCACACTTCGCGGTTATCAAGAAGCTTGAGACATCATTCGGTCTTCCCGTCAATAGAAGCCATGTTGAACCTGACTTTCCCATTCGACCGGCTCGCGCGCCAACTGCGGTCCCTAATTCGCATAACTCGCAAGGTCCATATTTTTTTTTTTCGCCTCTCGCGCCTGGAGCGCCGTCAAAAGCGGCCGGCGGCGCCAGCCCACCCGTGCCGGAGCGCGGCGCCCGTGCGGGAGCAAGGGGAGGAGCGGAGGTGTGAACAGGAGAAAGAAGGCAGGAGGGAGAAAGGGAGAGGAGTCCCAAGGGGGACGCGCGCTCTGGCACCGGCGGCTGACTCAGTGCCTCGGGGGCTTCCAAACAAAAAGGGACTGCATGATCATCGCCCCCATCAATAATTACAATCTGGACTGGAAATGCCGTCCGATATCTTGATGCCTCCAGCGTTCACCGAGTACTTGTAGCAGCTCTTCCCGTCGAGCGTGCAAGTCTGTGAGACAGTCGGCGTCGCTGTCTTGCCACTGATCGTTATGCCAGTCGACGCGCCCGCGGGCCACTCACCGCCCTCCGTGCAGGTCGGCGAACCGCCCGAGGTGATGTTGCAGTTGTATTGCAGGATGTTCTCGCACGTCAGCCCCACGCACGTCTCTGGCGGGCCCAGGAGCGTGGCTACAGGACAGCAGCCGCCGTCGCCGAAGTCTTTGAAGGCGATCGGGCACCCGACCTTGCCCGGGGTGGGCTCCACGACGTCGCCGAACAGCGGCTTGCACTTCTGGTCCGAGGTGCACGTGCTGGTCACCGAGCAGCAGCCCGTCCCGCACTTCACGTCCACGATGCCGCACCTCGCAATCCGGGGAACCCACCCCCCGCTCGGCGTGTCGGAGCGGCTCCGCGCCTGCGCGCTGCGGCCCGCCGCCTGCAGCAGCCCCACCCCGTCGCTCTCCTCGGCCGCCGCGGCGCAGCCCTCGGGGGGGGGCGCCGCCCCGGCCGCCGCCAGGACGAGCGCCATGGCCGCGGCGACCCGGGTGGGGAGCGCCATCGGGCGGTCTGCCGCGCGAAGGGGGGCGGGGCGCGCACCTGCAGAGGCCTTGAGCCAAAACGGCTACGGGAACTCGCTAGGTCCATCTTGAACCCACCATGGTGAACACAAGTCCAACCATTGAAACTTTCTGAGCAAATTGGATCGAATCAGCGAGCAACTCCTGGTTTCCGTGATTTGGCCAGGACATCACGAGCCGACCTCTGGATGTAAGACACGTCTGATTAAACGTTGTTCCTTGATGTCCCTTGTTTCAGGTATCGGAACCAAGGTATTTGATCTGCCACCATGACGCCCACACACTCTCGATGGCCCCAATGCGAGCAATGGCATGTATTGCTTTCCCCATTGCTTTCCCCCCAGAAGTGCCGATCTAGATTGTCCAGCAGATGAGTGTTGCTGCATGGTCGGAGCGGTTACCAACCCGATTCTCAAGCCCGTGGTGCCTATCCTAGCGACAAGTGAAGGGTATCTTGGGCCGTCTTGCGGGCCTGGAGGACCGTGGTGGGGGCCTTGTGGGGGCCGTCTGGGAGCCATCTCGGGTGTCTATCAAGTTTGTTTCACGCTCTTCATGTCGAACCTGCAGGAATTACGCGCTAAGCTAAGATTGGATCGTGAGGGCTCTGACCCGTGCTACGTTGGGTCGCCTGCAGGCCATTTCAGAAACATCCTGGGGCCTCCTGGGGCCATGCCGGCTGTTTCCCCGAATCGAGCTTTCCTGAACATCTGTGACTTATGTGTGAAAGAAGCCAGTGTGTGCGGGACCCTTCACCCCTGGCATTCCCTGGGGCTGCCAGGGGTTACCTGGGCGGCCCCTGGTATTGCTTGGGGTAACCTGGCGTTTCCTGGGCAACGCGAAGCAACGCCAATCAATGCCAAGCAGTGTCGCGTAATGCCAGCAATGCCAGGCAATGTCAACCACTGCGAAGCAACGCCACGCAAAGCAACGACGAGTAACCAAAAGCAATGCGAGGCAATGCAAAGCAACGCGCCGCAACGTCAAGCGATACAACGCAATGCAAAGCAATGCCAACCAATGTCAACCACTGCCAAGCATGGATTCCAAGCAATGCAACGCAACGCAAAGCTATGCCAAGCAGTGCGAAGCCAATGCCAAGCGACGCCAAGCAATGCCAGACCGATGCCATGCAATGCAAACAAATGCCAAACAACGTCAAGCAGCACAACGTATAACCCAAAACAGTGCGAAGCCATGTGAGGCGATACCAAACGACACGACGTAACGCTAAGCAGTGCCAGGCAGTGCCGAGCAACGCCGAGCAGTGCCACGCCATGTCTACAAATCCAGGCACCGATCCCGAACAGTGCCGAGCAACGCAGAGCACTGCCGAGCAGTGCGAAATCAAGGCCAAGCAACGCCGAGAAATACCAAGCTCATTGAAGGGGCCCTGGGACACACAAATAAATACACACAAAAAAAAGATTCCCCACATTGTCGTATAGTTCCTCGGTTTTTGCATTCCCCACCACTTCCCATGTTTTCCCATATTTTCTGGGGAATGGAGGATTAATTGTGTCTGTGTGTTTCTTTCCCTCCTGACCAATGCGAAGCAATGCAAACCAACGCCAAGCTCCAAGCAGCCCCCCAAAAATGTCCAACAACTGCAAGTCGTGCCAAGCAGCGCTTCCAAACAACGCAGGGAAATACGCCAAGCAATGTCGCGGAGAATCTTACCAGCGCGCACCGGATAGAAACCACGACCCTTGACCTTGCCACGGGCGCGGTGTCACTTGTAAACGTATCGTTGATCATCTGTTTTTCCGTGAGATTACTATCGGCGCTTGTGCCCATTTGTTCTCGTGAGCTGTGCGTCCTTCGGATGCGCATTCGTGCCCCTGACCGTGTGTGCGAGCAACGTTGATGTCACCAGACCTCACTGCTTTACGACGTAAACGGTAGCAACATTCCTTTCGGTCGCAGCGGAGCACGCTCAGAGTATGAAGGAACATGCTCAGAGCATGAAGTCGTTGAACGTGTGTGCCGGGGAACGGGCGCGCACAGCAAGGAGACGTGAAAGAGGTCCAGAGAGCACGATCTCAGGGTGTTGCCAGGAATGCGCAACAAGAAGTGTAATTAGCAATTCTGCACAGCCCGAAAGCAGAAACCGAACCTGGTAGAGAGCCAGAGCGATTCTCGCAAGAGCGGCGTACAACTAAATTGCGCCCAGGGTACTGTGGCTAAATCGATATCCTTCTCGATCACTTTATCGATCCCACGATTGAATTCCCGATCGATCTCATGATCGATCTCACGAACCATCTCACCCAATGGATCCCACCATCGATATCATTATCGCTCTTACTATGGCACCTACTATTGATACCACTCCCGATCTCACAATGGATCTCATTCAATCGACCTTATCATGGGTCGCATTATCGACCTCACTATCGACCTCTCTATCGACCTCAATATCGATCTCACTATCGATCGATAGAGCGAATGTCCAGATGCCTTGCGGCAAATACCACGGCCGCGCCAGCAGAACCATCTGAATGCCAACTGGTCGAACGGTGATGACGATGACAACGAAGACCCAATACCGACGATGATGATGATGATCATGATGATGATGCTGATCATGAACATGCTGACGATGATCTTGGGGCTGATGATGATTATGATCGTGATGATGTTGATGAAAAATGATTCGGATGGTGCTGATCATTGGCAAGAGGAGGCAGAAGAAAACACCGTCACATCCGGCACCTCTCGACCTCACTTCTGTAAAGGGGCCCATGGACACACAAATAGATACACACAAATCTCAAGATTCCCCATGTTTTTCCAGATCTTCTGGGTTTCTGTTTCCCCCCCCCCTTCCCAGCTTTTCCCATCTTGTCCTCGGGGTCGACGATTCATTGTGTCTGTGTGTTTTCTCCTCTCCCGATTCTGGGAGCTCACTCGGGCCGTCGCCGTCCCGGGGCCGTCCCGGGGCCCCCGCGGAGCAGCCTCGAGACCAGGTGGGCCGCCTTGGGCCGTCCGCGGGCCTCCGCGGTCTCTTCGGGCCGTCCGCGGGGCCGCACCGAGGCCGCCTTTGGCCGTCGACGGGCCCTCAGAGGTCGTCCCCCTCGGAGGCCTCTGGGGCCGCCTCGAACCGGCGGATGCCCGAACAGGCGAGAATGTCACAATCCTCCCCCCCCAAAAAACAAAAAACGAGTCCGCATTCAGAGCGCCTCGTCGGGTCCTGCGGCGATAACTGCGGCCAGGCATGGTGCCTGCCACATCTTCAAGCCATCCACTGATTGGGGTTTTGCTCACTGGTATAATTGTGGGGATGTGTCAGGCGGTTTGTCTGTCTGGTGGCTTGGACTTTGTCTGCTTTCAGAGCAGATTGCTGGGATGTCTCTAGCGGTTTGACTCTTTGGTGGCCCAGACTCCTGCGTTTTCGGAGGAGGAGGAGGAGGAGGAGGAGGAGGTCAGAAGAAGGATGATGATGATGAGGAGTAGGAGGAGGTGGAGGAACACAGCTTGTGCTGTATCATGAAGACAGGGAGACGGGAGTCAGGAGCAGGGGGACGAGGAGGGCGAAGTCCAGCGCGTCCCCGCCCCGCCAGTTATCTCGACTGTGGCCATGGGGGGAGCGTTTTGCACGTAGTTGACCATTCCGTCCACGTAGCCCTTGGCGTAGAAGTGCGGGACCGCCGGCGGCGGCGGCGGCGGGGACTTCTGGGCGAGGGGTCTGGCAACAGGACTAGCCGGGGATTGCCAAGGGTCCCAAGGTGCCCCAGCTTGTCGCTCCATTTTGGAGCCACCTGGGCCCCCTGGGCCTCGTGAGGGGTGCTCTGGAGGCCTTGGGGGCCTGGGTGGAAATCCTGCGGGCACCTTGGGCCAAGGGCACTTCTAGCAACACCCGAACTAAATAGTTAGACACGCCAACCCACTCCTCCTCTTCCTCCTCCTTCTCCTCCTCCTCCGCCTCCACCTCCTCCGCCTCCACCTCCTCCTCCTCCTCCTCCTCCTCCGCCTCCTCCCGCTCCCCGTTGTCCTCTGGCGCTCTCCTCTGGGCCGGCGACAATTCTGAGCGCTACAGCTCAGCACTGCGCTCGCGATTCTCCGGTACGAGAACGGCGCCCATGCACAGTGCCATGTTTGGACGCCCGTCGGGCCCCTCTCCAACGCAGTATGGTGCACACTTTGCCCTCACTGAGGGTGGACAGAACTATGCACCGTGCAATGGACGACTCCCGAACGAGTATCGGCGGCGAGCGGAGGGGCGAAGTGAGAAGGAGAAGGCCTTCTGAGAGGGCGGCGGTACTTCTCAGAAGCGCTCCGGCCTTCTGACGCATCTTCTGAGCCTTCGAGGAACGCTGGGAACACCTCTCAGACAACTGGAGGACTTCCGAGCCTTCCAGGAAGGCGCAGCTCTTCCCTGGGGAAACCAACATGTACCGATACCGCCACTCCCCAAACCTCTCCCGCGGTGCGTCCTGACCAGGACTTCGGGGCGAATCTGGCGGTGGCGACGAGGGCCACCCGTCGCATCTCGTCGGCTCTCGCGAGTCGACGCTCGACGCGAGATCGACGCTGGATCGACGCTGGAATGACGCTCATCGATGCTAGTCGACGCTGACTCGGCGCCATCTCATCGACCCCCAGACGCTGATCGACGCTAAAGACAGAATTGCGAGGGTACACAAGGCTCCCACGATTTGCTAAAGAAGAAGGGGTATCACCAGCCCGCGTAATAAGGATGCGCGGTCTGCACCAGCCTTGGAGGGCCATGTTAGCATTCTTCGAACGAAGTTGGCCAGCGAAAGCTGCCAAAGATGGGCCGAAGGAGCACGGTGCCCAATAAGCATGTTCCAAAATCGACAGCGGCCGCTGGTGGGCAAGCGACGCTCGTGGTCAGAAATGGGGACAGAGTCCGCAGCGACACTGACAGCGATTCCTGTTCAAAGTGGGCAGGAACTGCTCTCGGTCTTCGACACCACTCTTCCAGTGTCTACAACAACAGACAGACAACCGCATGAGCATCGTGTGTTTATCGTGTGTGAACTTGGAGCCCGATGAACTCCACATCCTTCAACTGGACGCTGAGATGTAGGCGCTCGGATCGGAGCCGTGAATTTTGGTCTACCAAGCTCTTCGCGGAACCCCGTCCGGTAATGTTGAGCCAGTGCGAGCAAGGGGCCCACAGAGCATGCACGCGCCCAGCCAAGAACAGTCAATCCGTATCGTGAGGATGCGCGACAGGGATGCAAAGGCCTTGGACGCCCGCTGAGAATGATCTCGAGCGGGACTCAGCCAACGAACATGGCCCAGGATGGACCGAGCAGGCACGGATGCAAGGGTACCCTTCGGAAAACTGCCCACCCTTCCTATGCGGGTTGCCTGTGTGCACGCGCCCAGCCACGTGAGAGTGCGCGAGGGCGTTGGCCACTCGGGGAAGGAGGCGCAGGACAGGTATGATTATGAGGAGGAGGAGGAGGAGGAGGAGGAGGAGGAGGGCAAGTTGACAGGACCAGGCGCAGGGCGAGGAGATTCGCGCGGTGGCCGCCGAGGCTCCAGACTTACGCCCCGAGGAGCCGGCCAGACGAAGAAAGAGCCACAGGAGCATAAACTTTTGGCGCTCCGAGCGGATTTCTTGGATCCGCGCTGGTCCCCCCTCCCTGGCGCGCGGAGCGCGCCAAGGGCGGCGCCCGAGGCGGACTCGGAATCGGAATCGAAGCTCGGGGGTCGGATCCGATTGGGAGCGGCCCTGCCTGGCTACAGCCCTGGCGACTAGCCAAAGTCTGGAGGAGAAACGAAAGCGCTCTCCGTCTGCCGGCAAGGGGTGGCCTGCCAGGATTGGGAGGGCCCAAGGGTGGCCCCTCGTCCACATACTTGAGCGGTTGTTGCTTGCCGCTGCCAATCCAAGATGTACCGAGGCTTATGCACCCTTCGACCGCTCCGTTGTTGTTGCTCTCTCTCTCTCTCTCTTTCTCTTACCGTTCTCGGTTTGCGCGGCAGTCGGCGTCAATCAGTAGCCCATTGCCGCGCCGCGCAATACATGGAGTTGATGTGTGCGGCAACGCTTGAATGCCCAGATTCGGGCATTGAGGCTTGGCATCTTAGCATTTGCTATACACTTTGACGAAATGAGGAAGGTGAAGATCGCAGGGAGCGGAAGGGAGAGGAGGAAATGTGGAATGAGGGGGGATGAGCGGGATGGAGTGAGGATAGGGGATTGAAAAGAAGAAGTGATTTTGTTTGGGGGGGCGAAGAGGGAGAGAATGATTGATCACTATGGGGGGGAGTGGTACATGGAGGAGGCGGAGCAGGGGAAAGCGGGGGAGACGGGAGGAGTTCAGCAGGGAAGGGTAGAGTAGGGGAGTGGCAGAGGGGAGACAGACGGGGACGTTGGGGGGATTGGAAGGGATAGGCGGAGGGAGGGGAGGGGACGGGGGGGGGGGGGAATGGGAGGAGGACAGGGGGGAGGAAATGAGGAGGGGACGGGGCGGGGAAGAGACGGATGGGAAGGACAGGTGAGGCCACAGACAAGAGGAGTAATCGCACCCTCGTCACAAAAGCACGGTCGTCCCAAACGAGGCATTGGACCCTTCAGCGGCCAGTGGCAATTCTGTTCCTTCGCGTACCACCTTCGTCCTCCAGCTGCTCGCCCTTGTCCTTGTCCTCCTCATCTCCTGTTTACCTGTTTACCGGGTGACCCACCAGTCTCTGAGACCCCGCTGCTTCTGTGAAAAGCCAAGCATGTGCTACGCAGATAGCGGGAAATACATCACGTCACATCCTGACTCCATCCTGCCACTCACTGCGCTCAAACGAACATCGTTGGCGACCCAGCGACCGAGAAAAGGCATTCGGTGAACCGCGGCCATCGCCTCACACGCAGTGGGCCTCGGAGCGCCACGTCTTGGAGACCTCCCCCGTGCCACTTTCACCCATCTCCCCGTCCTCCTCGTCCCCTCGACTCCCTCCCGTGGGTGCTCGTCCGCGGCGGGTGCCGGCGCTCCTCCTCGGCAACGTGGACGTGGTGCGGCTCCGGCTCCGGGTCCTCCTCGCGCATCCAGCAGATGATGGCCAGGAAGACGCACAGCGACTCGGGCGGGGGGCCAGGCGGGGGTGGCAGAAGGGGGGCCTGAGGATACAGTTAGATCGGGCATGTCCTCCTACAGGCAGGTTGTGGACGATCAGCTAAAAATAAGCAGAACATATTCTCAAACAGCCAGAAACTCGTCCCCGCACTATCTTGTTCCCTACCTAGGCTCTGCCTAGAAGGGTTCTTACTCTCTTGGCTTAAAGGGGCCGGGCAGAGGACCCCGCCCCGGGCGGTTCCCCCGGTATCCGCTCCGCGGTTGCCCCAGTTGCGCCCCCTGGGTTCACCCAGCTTAGCTAAGCTAAGCTTAGCTTAGCTTAGTTTAGCTTAGCTTATCTCATATTAGCTTAGCTTAACTTAGCTTTGCCTAGCTTAGCTTAGCTTAGCTTAGCTTAGCTTCTCTTAGCTTAACTTTTCTCATCTTAGCTTAGCTTAGCTTAGCTTAGCTTAGTTTATCTTAGCTTGGCTTAGCTTAGCCTAGCCTAGCGTCGCTTAGCATAGCTTAGCTTACCTTAGCTTAGCGCAGCATAGCGCAGCATAGCGCAGCGCAGCATTACCACAGCATAGCACAGCATAGCTAGCCAAGCTTAGCATACCATAGCATAGTATAGCTCAGCATAGCATGGCATGGCATAGCGTCGCATAGCATAGCATAACATTGCTTAGCATAACACAGCGCAACATAGCATAGCATAGCACAGCACAGCATCGCATATCACAACATAGCATAGAGCAGCATCGCATAGCATAGCCTAGCATAGCCTAGCATAGCATAGCATAGCGCAACATAGCACATCATAGCATAGACTGGCACAGCATATCATAGCATATCATATCATATCATAGGATAGCGCAGCATAGCATAGCATAGCATAGCATAGCATAGCATAGCATAGCATAGCATAGCGCAGCATAGCGTTGCATAGCATAGCCTAGCATAACACAGCGCAGCCGAGCGTAACCTAGCAGAGCATAGCATAGCAACGCATAGCATAGCATAGCATAGCGCAGCATATAGCATAGCATAGCATAGCAGCAAATCAAAGGCAAAGCAACAGCAGCAACAGCAAAGCAAAGCACAAGCAACGCAAAGCAGGACCTGCAGTGCTGAACAGCCTGCAGCTCTTGCAGGAGCCGCGAGCAGTGCTGAACAGCCTGCAGCTCTTGCAAGCAGTGCTGAACAGCCTGCAGCTCTTGCAGGAGCCGCGAGCAGTGCTGAACAGCCTGCAGCTCTTGCAGGAGCCGCGAGCAGTGTTGAGCCTAGTGCAAGCAGTGCTGAACAGCCTGCAGCTCTTGCAGGAGCCGCGAGCAGTGCTGAACAGCCTGCTGTCGCTGGGTGCACAGCAAAGCAAGACAAAGCAAAGCGCAGCATTGCATGGCATAGCTCAGCTTAGCATAGCGCAGCGCAGCATAGCATAGCATCGCATAGCATAGCTTAGCTTAGCTGCGTGTCGCTTGTAGGGCTCATCATCACCATCATCATCATCATCATCATCATCATCATCATCATCATCATCATCATCATCATCGTCATCATCATCATCAGCGAACGTGTAGATGTATATGTAGATGTAGGTGTAGGTGTAGATGTGGATGTAGGTGTAGATGTAGATGTAGATGTAGGTGTAGACGTAGATGTGAGTCTCGCTGTTGATGTTGATGTAGATGTAGATGCAGGTGTAGATGTGAATGTAGCTGTCGGTGTAGATGTAGATGTTGCTTTCCTAAATGCTCCAACTCCTAGGTAGGGTCGCACTGGGATAATGACTTTTCTTGAATTCGTCCTCCTGTAGACGGACATGCTCGACTTGAGTATACGGTCAACCCATATCACAAGGACGCACGATAGGGATGTACGGGCCTTGGGAGGGCCGGACGAGAAGGGGGGCATCTAGATGGAGCAGGGGCCCGACCACACGAGACCTTCCACAAGAAATCCAGACCTGAGACCCCAGGAAGTCCATCGATTTTTGGTGAGGGAACGTCGGGCTCTCCATCGCAGAACCATCGAACCCTCCAAAAAAACAAGGGCTCGCAGGAGGCAAGCAGCGTGTTTCTTGGCATGAATCTCCACTGTAAGGACGCACGATAAGGATGCAAGGGCCTTGGAGGGCCACGTCGACACTCTGCGAGCTGGGCGCCGCCAGCGGTAGCGGCCAAGTCTGGGCCGAATTGGAAGGGTGCGAGGGTAATCTTGGTAAGTCGCTCATCCTTACTATGCGGGTGGAGAATAGAAGACAGAGGTGGGGGGGGGGGGGAAGTATGGGGGAACACATTCATTGATATACATGAAGAAGAAAACACGCGTTCGAGAAACATTGCATGAACTTACGCTGGCAAAATCAAATTGAGAGCGACGGCCCATCCGCTATCTGCCATACTTTTCGTTCGGCTACATGGGTTCTTGGTGTGATTGGAAGTTTGCGTGTTTGCTCGCTTGCTTGTATGCGTGCTTCCAGCCCTGCTCGCTTACGTGCTTGCGTGCTCCCTGGCTTCATGGGCCACAGCAGCGGGCGCTGTGCACAATATGCAAAGGACAATTGGCGGGCATGGGCGGCGGGAGCAGTGGACAGGAAAATGCAGGCAAAAGGGCGGCGGTGAGCGTTCACAGTGCGTTGCGCCAGGATCAGCAGGTCACCGGTAGCAACTAGTGGGCAACTCTTGAACCAGATGGGACCAAAGACCATGCTACACAAAACGCTACCGGACAAGACCAAGCCTGACCAAATTACGCAAGAAAAGCCGACCATACCGGACTAGACAACTCAGTGCCAGACCGGACCAGGTGACTCGCGAGGCGCAGGGAGTGCTCATTTCGCCCAAGTGGCGCCAACAGAGCCGCACCAATAATCGCCGCCCACCTTAGATGCGACCCCCGATCCAGGCTTATCCACGGCCTGATGTTGGTCCTGATTCTGACCCTGATCCGATCCTTACCAAAACGCGGGGCGCCCCACTGACCGAGGGGTCGACCGACTCCCGAACGATCAACGGGTCGGCCAGACCAGAGCCCGACCAAACCCTGATGGAAAAACCGCCTGCCCCGTTCTGGCGACCACCGCCGCCGTCCCCTGGCATCGCCCTCCCCCCCGAGAACGGCGGGAGAAGGCGGCCAGCGGCTGGCACGGCGAGCTCTCGGAGCTGGATCCCCCCGACCTGAGGAGGAGCCGAGAGGGGGAGGGGGCACGAGCTCGGGGGAGGCCACCGCGGCCTGGAGTCAACGCTGCATTAGGTCGGGCATGTCCCCCTGCAGGCCGATGTTGGGCGAAGACGGAAAAAATGGCCCCAACAAAATTCAGAAACTATAGAAAATGGTCGTGCAATCGTCCCCATACTAGTTTTTACTATTCTTGAAAATTCCTCCTGTAAAGGGACAGGCCTGACTTACACATTGCATCGCCGACAGATCGGCGACAACCCCCCGACGTGGAGTTCCCGCGCTCGTGGGGCAGTCTGGGATATCCGGGCACCCATCGGCGAAGGGTGGGCGATCTGGGGGAGTCGTTTCTCCCCCTCCCTGCCTGAGCCAGTCTGAACTGGCATCTTCAACCGATCTTCATCCCCTTGAAATGGCCCTGACCACACTGGCAGACTTACTCTTCTCAGGTGGGGATGAATGTGCTGTTTCCTTCGGTTCTTGCGGGGCCTTCCCCAGCTGCATCCTGCGATGGGAGGGTTGGTGGGGCTGAAATGCCATGGCCCAAGGGCGATGGGTATCGGTTAGGCGATGCTGGCAGTGCCCCCCCCCGGCTTCGGGTCGCACGAGCGGGGCGTTAGCGACACCGGAGGCGCCAATGTATCGAGGAAGTGCGCCCCGAGGCGGAGACGAAACCGACAGCACGCAGCAATTTCCGCAGCACCCCCTTGAGGAGGAACCTTTTCTGTGCAGTGGCTCCCAGGTCAACGCTCACATCTCCGGCGGCCGTCTGGGACAATTCTGGCACCCCCAGGACGCTTTCGGCCAGGAGCAGCTGCTGGAGCAGCTACAGCGGCAAGAAAACGTCACAGAGTCAACGAAACGTCCGATCGGGGGCCGATGCTTCCCTGCCCCCCTGGGCCAGCCACCCCACCTGTCGGTTTCCCCTGACGACTCCCTGAGGCGGCCGCAAGCGCCCCCCGTACGGAATCCACGCCCATGGATCCGGCGGCGCTGGCGCGGGCGCCGCCCTTCCAATGGCGGGGACGACGATGACCTCGGTAGGCGTGCAGCCAACGTGCTCTCCGTGCACATGGCTCTGAAAAGGTGGGCAGTGGTGGGTAGGAGCAAAGGGCGGGAAGGCGTCGAAAGTAGACTGGCTTCCCGCCTGCCAAAACAGGAAGGAGAAAAAGGACACCATTCGGCCCTGGAACAGGAAGGCGCCGAAAGCATATCGGAATTTGGGGATCCACGCGTACTTGCTTTGAGTGGGCGATTGGCAGCGCGAGCTCAACAATGCTTATTCAAGTCCTTGCGGGCCAAGAGTACATGTTACATGTCTGAACAGTCCAAGATCGCGGGCGTATTTCAAATAGAAAATACCGGGATTTAGCGAAACCTACGCGCCGCAGCGGCCGCAGCCGCCGCCAAAGCCGCCGCAGCTGCCGCCCTGGCCGCCGCAGAAGCCACCGAAACCGTCGCGGCCGCTGCGGCCGTCGCAGCCACCGCGGTCACCTGAACCGCCGCCGCGCCTGCCGCGGGTCCCGTGCTTTCTGCGGTCGCGGATCCCTTGTCCTCGGCTGCCGTGGTTCCCGCCCCGTGCTGCCGCGGGCCCCGTGCCAGGGGAGAGGCCCCAGCCCGTGTGGCCGCCAGACACGTCGGGGTGATCCTCGTGACCCTTTGTTCGCGGTTTCAGGGGCGCCCGTGGGGGCCCAACGCAACCGCGCAAGCCAGTGCTGCCGCGCCGCATCAACGATCTGCGGGACGCCACCCGCAATATTTTTTGAGCCAGCAGGCAACCGCGGAATTCCGCCCATTGGATTCGAACGCCACGAATGACACTTCGAATGCGCTGCGAAAGCAGACGTTGCCGGGGACCACCACGAAGAGGTCTGGCACTGCTGGGCCGCATCGCGATGATGTCTGACCAGGTCAAGCGTTATGGCCCAAACCGGCCCCATCCGCGGGCCTGGAATATGTTTGAATACCATTGGACAACTTGCAATAAAACATCTTCGCATTGGCTCGCCAATTATACCCAAGCGTATTCAAACATATTCCGAGATATTCAAAAATACTCACAACTATCTGATATATATATATATATATATATATTTAAGCTAGACGATTGAAGATCTGTTCTTAGATTCGGGACTGGTCTTGGGTCTTGGGGCGGGAAACGCGCCGGCCAGTCGACCAGCCCCCTCTCGGGAAAACAAAGCACACTGCAGGGTGCGACGCACATGCGTTGCTGTCGATTGTCGAGGGTGGGGTCCAAACCCGGCGCGCTCAGATGCGAACGCAAGCGCGCGATGCGGATGCCGACGCGACGTCGATTCCACTCCACGAGAAAATCTAACCCGGTGTGGGGCCAGCACCTAAAGGCCATTCTGGCGAAAACGTCACTTGTTTCGTGAATTCGACGGCTAGCCTGGCTGGACTCGTGGCTTGCCCCTTCGTGGCTCGCTGTGGCAGCGACCTTCGGCGGACTACGCAGTCCTGGAGCCGACCTGGCAGATAGTGCCTGCGTACTGTACGCGCACTCGCCCCCCATACTTGCGGCCCCTCTGTGACGGTAAAGCTGCCCGCATCGTACTAGCTTGGGTCAGCCTTACTACACGTTCCAATTGTTCGGCAAGGGACGGTCGTCTCCCACCCGGTGTGAGCGTGAGCCGCGGCTTGCCCTCTCTTCCGTTTCGCCTCGTTTCCCCTCCACTCCGCTCGTGCTCTTTCCTCTTCTTCCTTTGTTGTTCGCTCTTTCGCCCTCTTCCTCTGTTTCTTCGTTTGCCCTCGCCCCTGCCGCGTTGCCGCTGCGCTTCGCCTGCTGGTTTTCGCCGCCATCGTGGCCTTCTTTTCCTGCGCTCCGCTGGCGACACCTGCGCCGTACGCCCTGGCCCTGTGCCGTTCGACCCTTTCACGGTGCGCGGCTGCCTCCGCGTCACTCGCAACCAAAAAAGTGCATTCGACGGCGGCGCCGGCCGCGGGCGGCGCCCGAGCGGCCGGCCAGCTGGCGGCCGGCCGCGGGGACGATCCCATAGGGAGAAAAGGTGCCGATGCCGCTGCTCCCCGGACCTCTCCCCGGGGGTGCGCTCTGACCAGGCATTTCGAGGCGGATCCAGCAGTGGCGACGAGGGCCTCCGAGGAGGCCCCAAAAAGGGAAAACGGGGGAGGGGGTAATTAGAGGTATGGCATGGGTACCTTTGCCTCCTCTGAGATCCAGACCAAGCGCACGCGAGGCCGCCTGGAGCGCTGTTCCCCTCCCCCCGGCCAGGGGGGGCCTGCCTCTAGAGCTCCGGGGCTGACATTACAGTCCACCCGCACCATAAGGATGCGCGATGAGGATGCAAGGGCCTTGGATGCCCAGTTCGACGCTTCTCGAGCGGGGCGCGGCCAACGGAAGTGGCCAAGGATGGGCCGAGGAGGCAAGGACCCAGACCCCCGGCGTCCCGACGTCATGAACTTTTCATGACGTGGACCCCAGCGGTCTGGACCTATTCCCCGGGGCCGAATTCTCGTCCTGGGTCGTTTTCTGACGGTCTCGAGGGCCGGCAAGGAGCCCAGAGGCCGAAAATAGCAAAAACTTCCCCGTCATGTTTTTTGATTACCCGAGGGGGTCTGGGGATGCAAGGGTACCCTTGGGAAGGTTGCCCATCCTCACTGTGCGGGCTGGCTGAATCCTGGGTCACGCCAGAGCTCCGCGAGGGGGAGGACGGAGCGGGGGGAGTCCAGTCTCCGGAGGCGGAAGGCTTTGCCCATCCATACCCTGACCTTCCAGAGAGCTATTTTTTAGCACTGGAGACCTAAACACCTAGAAAGCTGAGCGAAACAGCCTAAAACAAAGACGTAGAATAGCTTTCGGATAGGTTTTTAAGTCGGGTGCTATTTTTTAGCCCTCCTGGAAGGTCAGGGTACACTCCCCCCCCCATATCGGCCAATCGCAGGAAGGGTGATGGCTCTAAGGTCGATCGCCGGGCAGGGGCAGACAGGACCAGCCCCACGCACCACACTGCGAATGCCCTCAGCGATGAGGACCAGATGGAAAGAAGAGAGTGGGGAGCGAGAGAGCAAGAAGGGAGAAACGGATGGGGGAGGGGCAAGGAGGAACGGAGGAAGGGTGAGGAGGAGGAAGAATCGGGGGGGAGGGAGAAGAGGAAAACGGAAGGGGGGTAGGAGGGAACGGAGAAATATGGGGGAGGACGAGAGGGGAGGGTCAGGAGGGAAAGACAGGAGGATGGAAGCAAATGATGGGAGAATAGCGAGTGAAGTGAATATCTACAGAGGAAGTCACCCCCTTGATCTTTCAGTGAAGTCGCTGCGCTAGTCAGACCCAAGAGGCCCTAGGGAATTCTTGCTCGCTCACTCAAATCCCAATTCTTACATGTTCTGATTCTTGAAACGTGTGGGTGGTCCACAATTGCGTAGCATGGGCACTGCTCTCTTTCCTCCACTCATCATCTGCAGCGGATCTGTCAGACACCGGATCTCATTCAGCTCATGTTGATCTTGTCCTCGAATTCGATCGGGACACCCTCGGCCCCTCAGCAATCGCGACCCCGCTGCAGCATCTGCGGGACTTCAGGATCGGCTTTGTGCTCCCGTCGTTCACGAGTGGCCCCCTCGCCCAAACGCGGGACGCAGTCCTGGAACCGACTCTTTCCTCGCCGTTGCCGCCCCCCCCATCATTCCCCTTCGTCCGCCTTCGCCTGGTCCACTGGCTTCTCATGGCTCCTCCCGCTCCTCCTCCTCCTCTTCCTCCTCCTCCTCCTCCTCCTCCTCCTGCTCCTGCTGCTCCTTCTTCCTCTTCCTGCTTCTACTGCTCATCCACCGCCCGCTCCTCCTCCTCCTCCTCCTTCTTCTCTTCCTCCTCCTCCTCCTCCTTCCCCACCTCTTCCTCCTCCTCGAGTGTACAATGTCTCCTATTCCTGATTGCACAGCGCACGAAGGGAACACTCGGCGGATTTGCTGACACCCGGACGAACCCGCGGACAGAAAGACATTCGGCGCGCACTTGGAAGGGGACATGCCGGAAGGGGTGGGATGTCAAATACGGAGTGAACGCCCCTGGCTTGTCATTCTTCACCCCTCTAGGCCTCCTCCTGTCCCTTCCCTCCTCTCCTCCCCGTGTCTGTGAGCCCCCAATTCTGGGGCGACGTGATCTATACATATCGATCGTCGCTGGCCAGGCCCATCCTGGGCCCAGGAGCGGTGCGTATGCCTCGGGGGCGTATGCACCGCTCCTACGCCCAGGATGAGCCCAGCCTGCGGCGGTGGATGAGCATAGATCTCGTTGTCCTACATCTCCCTCGCGTTCCCTGCCTCCCTGCAGCCCCCCGCCGAGAAGAGGGGGCGAGGATCGGAGGTGGAACTGGCGGCCCCAAACTGCCCCGGGGACGGCGGCGGTGGTGGTCGTCGCGGTCGTCGTGGTGTTGCCTTTCTTGCCTTCGCGGGAGAATGGAGGTGGGATGGAAGAGTGGTGGAGAGGGCGGAGGGCGGAACGGGGTGGGGGGAGTGGAGGGTGGGGTCACTGCCGGCAGCGGTTTGAGGGCGGAGAGCGGAACGGGGCGAGGAGGTGGGAGGGCGGTAGCGCAGCCGGCGAGGTGGCGTGCCGCTGAAACTGGACGAGGTGCGCGGTGGCCGCGCGGGGTGCTCTGCGGCGGTGTTTCCTTGCACGGCACGGTGGGCAGTGTGGTGAGGCCAGGGTCGCATGGCCCTCCGCGGGAGCTACCCGTGCTTTCGCGGGAGCTACGGCAAGATTCCAGTCAACAAGGTCAACGCCAGCTACAAGAACGCTGCGCTCCTCGAAACACTCCTGCTTCGCGATGCTCTCAAGCTGTTGTCGGAACATCGGAGGTGATCGGCGTCGTCGGAAGCGTCAACTCGAGGATGGTCGGGGTCGCGCAGCTGGCTGCGCTGGTCGTTTTTATCTTTCTTATTCAGGGTAGTGGCGGTAAGGAGGCTTTGACTCGTATCCTGGAGCCTCTGACTGTCCTTGGTCCGCGCGGTGTCCATCAAAGCTGGGTCCGCTCCGCTCCGGCTCCGCTCCGCACAAGCAGTCCCTGTCATCATGGACTCACAAGCAAGGGACCAGCGCAAGCTAGCAAGCTGGTTGGACAGACCCTCGCTCTGAATGCGAACGCGTCAGCGTTGTGCCCCTTCACCAGCCGATGCGAGGGAAGAAATCGGATACGGGCTCTTTACATGATCCTGCCGAAAGCCCGGTTCCCGGGAACCCTTAAGGGTTCCCGGAAACCGGGCTTTCGGCACTTGTTGAAGGACAAGTGTCCTTCAGCACACGACACTGGGCACGCGATTCGCGCTCCCGGGAGAGAGAGAGTGCAGACGGCAGGCGCGACGGGAGAGGGGGAATGTGCCATCGGGCCAGCAACGCGCGCCCAGAAGGAGCGGAGACGGCAGGCAGCGCGGCGAAGGACTTTCACCTTGTGACGCTGAAGCGTTGCGAGGGCATTGGGGCCTTCAGTCCGGACCTGTTTTACTGCGTATGCATAGTTATACATACATACATACAAACATACATACATACATACATACATACATACATACATATATATATATATATAATGGGTGCTTGATGCTTGATGCCAAATGGCTACGTTGGAGCAGGAGAGGGAAGTGAACAGGATGATCTATCAGGAAGAGTTGGCGAAGGACGAGTAAGGAGCGTGGGGGAGCGGCGATCACCGCCGTGGACGAGTTCGCGATCGACTCGATACAACTGAACGCTCTGATGTCGCTCTATAAGCTTTCTTGATGGCGCGGTACCCTCACAATCACGCTCAGCGCATGTAACTTGTCTTCCTTAGCTTTGCGGCGGGCCCGTCTACGCCAAGGGGTGCTCTCGCGCCTGCTTGGCCAGATGATGTCGTCGGCCGAGGGTGGCCGGGCCTCTGATTCCTGACGACTCTTTTCTCTGGACGGGGCTCGACAGCTACTTCCCCCCTGTGGAGGGTGGGACGCACGGGGAAACAAATTGCACGCAGTGCTGGAGTCGAAACGCCGTCAAAGGCGGAGGAGGAGGAGCGAGGACAGGGTGGAGGGGGAGGAGGAGGAGGACGACAAGCAGCAGGGCTCCTCCGCGCCGTCGGGAAGGCGGACAGACGGCCGAGCCTCGAAAGGCCTGCAGTACAGGCTCCGCGCACGATGCCGCAGACGATGCCGAACAGGAAAGTAAAGCCTACAAGAGACAATGACTGGGTTTAAGTCGGGCCTGTCCCCCTACAGGGGGATTTCCGGCGAAAAATTAAAAATATACCAAAAATGATCAAAAAATAATCCAACAATAGCCTGGATACTATTTTTGGAATATTTTTACCTTTTTGAAGTATGTTTGGGGTATAATTCATTTTTCGTCGAAAATCCCCCTGTAGGGGGACCGGCACGACTTAAGACTGGGTCGATTTCAAGCAGCAGGAACAAGGGAAACGATACCCACCGCCATGGTTCGACGGCACCGCTCGGATACTGACTACCTACCAGACCACCCCAACCCAACCCGAAGACCCGAATTTCGGGTTTGGGGGGGTAAAGATTCCACATGTGGTTTTTCGATGTTTCCCGCCCCCCCCCCCACACTGGAAATCGAGGGTAAATTTGAGCCTTCGGGTTGGGTTGGGGTGGTTTGGTGGGTGGTAAGGTACTGGCATCGGACGAGGGGCCCTGTCCACCTGGAGCCTGCCAAAAAAAACTGCCTCCAGGCACAAGCAAAGGCACACCGGGAACCAGCGCGCGGGAAGCACGCTGGTGGGGACGCCCCTCTGCAGAGCCGCGCGGCGGATCACTGAAAACGATTGGGGGCGAGTTGTTTTGACAAGGACGGCGACGAGGAAGGAGTTCAAGGATTTACCAGGGACCCGCATCGATTGTAACCCCAGGACACTTGGGATGCTTGCCCCTCGCTAAAAGCTCCTAAAGGTTCTTGGTGTGACGGGTGGGTCGGTCACTGCAGCGCTTGTGCAATCCTCGAACCTGTCCCTCGCTGGAATAACATCTACACCTGAGGCACACAGTGATCAACGAACTATCAATGCATTCAAGCGGTGTACAATTGTGGTTCAGAGCTCTGAGGGCAGATCCCGCGAGTCCGTGCACTCCGTTCACACTCCAAACGCAGGCTCCAACTCTCTTCGCTTCGTTCTGTTTCAATTCAAACACCAGAAGAACCTCATAGTCCCTGCCATTCGTGACCTAGGGGAAGAGACGGGATCGACGGACCAGACTCGACACGAGGGGGGCGGATGAGTTCGACCTCAGAGAAGCCGAGCTTGGGCCAGTGGAAGAAGCGAGGAGGCAATGTTGCAAACAAGCATGCAACATCTGATTCGACGCTGGAGTTCCGCTTCCTCGCTCTCCGACCGAAAAGGGTGCATCGCAGCTCCTACTCGAGCGGCGGCGGCGGCTACACAATTCCCCAATCGGCGCCACCGCTCGGGGAATATGAACCATCCGTTTGCGGGTCCAAATGGGCTCTCAATCTGACAACATCCCTAACCCATTTGTTGCCCCCATGAGCGAAATATTGCATCATGCCTGCACAGGGCCTGGAGGCTGCTGGCTCTGGCAACATTTAGACAATCAGAGAAGATTGCGCTGTCGCCTAATAGCTGGATTGCAGCCGTGGCAAGTCCCTGAAACTCGCCTGCCTGAGGCGAGGCCACCAATGGGGAGGGGGCGGGTCCGAGCAGCCTGTCTGCCACATCTCCACCGTCCAACATCTGAACAACACCCACCCAGCACGTTGAAGCGCAGAGATTATATGGCAGCTGCAGCTCCCATCTCCGGGACTGGGTTCCCTGCAAATCCTCCTCTTCTCTGGACTCGTCGGTCCAGCGCAGGCCCGTGGTCCCAGGCGACGCAGGTGGGGGGCGCGTGTCCCCAGGGCGAGGAACAACTCCTCGAGGGGAAAGAGATTTCTCGACAGGATCTGCTTGCGCCGCGAGGGCCAAGGCGAAGTCTGCCCGCGCGACGATGACCAACCGTTTTGCCTGGCACTGCGTGCATTCTCACAGTCTGTGACACTCCAGGCCGTCGCATACCCCGCACAAGGCGCACTTAAGTGACTGAAGTTGGCACCCGCACTTTAGCGCGCGATTCGGAGTCCAGATCGCCCCGCGGACCAGCGATTTCACGCAGCCTCTACCGAGCGCGGCCGATCGCATCGATCGGGGCCCCGCTCGAACGACATCGAAGCACGCTCTCGGGCAATCCGCGCTCGCTTTGCTGCTAGCGAGGCGCTCCCATGACCTGGGCACCGCACCAGACAACATACCTTTCAACATAGACGGCGAGGCATGGGTTAGCACCACTTCATCTTCGAAATCGTTCAGCAACGCAACGAAATCGTTCGTGCCACGACAGGTCTTTTTTCAGCGATAACTTCCAGGCTGAAAAAGGGGACCCTGGACCTTTTTAACCCCAACCTTGACCTCCTCATCCTGGTAGCCCACCTCTCCAGCCCTCCTGAGCTCCTGGAACGACAGCCCATGCGGGTACGAGTGGGCATGAGCGACCCAGACCCCCCTTGGAAAACCTGCGGATCGGGGCGACTTCGCATTTCCAGGGCGGGGCGCCCTCTAGAATTATAAGCGATGTGAGAGATCAGCCGGCGGCCTGCGGTCGGAATATCTTACCCGCTGACTGCCCAGTCACATGAACTTCCATGTCGGATACACCATGCGCAGCAGCGCAGTGCTCGATGCAAGGAGGCGTCCCCGATGCGAAGATGCGCGCAGAAAGTAGCCCTAGAGACTTCCCCATCGCTCTGAGTTTCCTGGATTGCTCCTGGAAGGTTGGAATCAAATGACGAACTCGGTGGCCCATTTTTCCCAACCCTCCTCGGGCGCCCAATCGTGTCATCGATCCCCAGATCAGTGGCGCACGCAACCGCTGGCCCAGCGAAATCGCCGAGGAAAGCACGCAACTCCTTGTCGACAGCCTTCTTGAAACTAGCAAAGATGGGCTTCTCGCGCGAAACCTCGCAGCCGAGCTCCGAGACAAGAGCTCTATGCAGGGCAGCCGGCGCTGTTTTGATATTTTTGATCGCATCCCTCGCCTTCCCCGCGCAGATTAATCTCGAATCGTCGGCGCGCTGGTCAATTCTCGCTCGCGCTCTCGGCAGCTTGGCCACCATCTAATCGCAGGACCAATCAGATCAGTGCGCGCGAACGTACTCGCGAAGCTGCCGCTGGCGATGGCGCCAAGCATGGCGCGGCGCGGTCAAGAGACCATAGAAGACAGGCAGAGGCGTCGATCACTGCGGCGCGCGTTGACAAAGAGCTGCGCGATGGCCATGGGGGAGCCGAACAGCCTGCGCTGTTCAACGAGCCTATCCAACCGGAGCGTTTCATGAAACCTAGCCGCGCCTCACAACGCTGTCGCTCATACTTCGCCTTTTCGAGGTTCCTATTTCGGATCACAATGCTCGGCGCCCAACGGCGTCGCAAGCAGACGCTGACTTGGAACCGGCAAACAAGGGCCCCATGTGGGAATGTCCCCGTCGTCGGGCGCGCGCCATCCCGCGCCTGCCCCAAAACCACAAAGAGGGCACGAACAATCCAATCGGGCGCCGACCCCCTGGAGGTTCCATGAGCAACGCCGCCTGGACAGCTCTGGTTCAGGAGGGGGGGGAGAAGGTCTCGAAGCATCTATAATGCCTTATGTGGGAGCCGCCCACACTCGGCGCGGATATCGCAGAGCACCTGGCCGACGCACCTCGGATAGAAGCAAGCTCCAAACACGGGAGGGCCTTCTGAACCGCAGAGAACCCTGGAACCTCTCGGACTCAGAACGCAGCGAATACAACGCATCGGAAATGACGCGGCCACCGGCGCTCTGCATGGCGGTTGCGTCCACCCAGGAGCAGGCTTCCTCGCGAGGTGGGCATTCCTGCGACCCCTATCGACGTTGGCCAATCGCCTGTTTTTCCATCCCGCCCTTGCCTCCTCCTGAGTCTGGTACCTCAACTCCTCATATTCCCTCCCCACCACAGACTGCAAGGATCACGCTTTGCAGCTCCGACAGGCGAGCCCACTTCCGGGGCCAGGGCAGCTTCCTCGTTGGCCTGACAATAACCAACAACTTGCCGCGCACGGTTGTCCAACCAGTACATGGCGACCGTAGTCGGGTACGTGGTGGGATCCGTCTTAGCGGTGAAAGTAAGGACCCGTTGGGCCTCTGGTGGCCCCCCTCTGCTTCCACGGAAATGCAATTCCACCTGGTCAGCCCTCGACAGCTCGAGCTCGGCTGTATGTCCGAACTTCTTGTCCAAAACGTCTGGCCCCCTGCGCTCGGCCAACCATTCTTTTCCGAGCCGCGCCCAGCACGTGGTTGCCAACGCTTAAGCGCAAGCCCCGACCGAGGAGGTTCTGGCGGAGGGCTGATAGGCCTTTCAATAGGTAAACGCGGGTGGCGACGAAACTGCGCAGCTTGAAGCTCAGCCGCGCGCGGAAGAGGCATGATCTACACGGGGGCGTGGCTCGTCATCGCCGCGGAGGTGGCCCTCTCAACAGACTGTATAGCCTTTGCGCACGCCTCGCGAGACAACAGAATAGTCGATGAGCGACTTGCCTCCTTGTTCTATGTATCAGGTGGCCTCGACGTCAGGGCGGGCCAACTCGCCGAGCTTCTCGGGGAACCCAATCTCGAAGATAACATCAGGGGGGGTTGTTGACATCGGCGCCCACATTCGTTCCGCGCCCCAGAGCCACCGCGGCACCACCCACTCTACTGAGGATGTCAAAGCTTCTGTCCGACAGTCCTTCATTAACGTACAAGTGGAGGGAGGCGATGGTCAGCGGGGTGGAGCGCGGGAGATGGACCGCGGCCAGCAATGCTCTGCCTGGCATCAGAACTCCGCCTCCAGAGCAAAACGCACGGTGCAAGCCAAGCCGCGAGCGCGTCAGCACAGCCACACCTCCTTACGCGCCGCCCCCGGCCCAAGAGTGGCTTCGGCAAGCGCCCCCTTTCCGCTGATGTCTGAGAAGCCAACTGCTGGCTTCATCAACTCTGTCTCCACGCAAGTGATGCTTCTGAACTGTGACAACGTGGGACGAAGTGAGCTTCAGCCACTCTTCGGTCAAGCGCCATCTGGTGCACTTCAAGTTTCGATGATCAGGAAGTAATTGTCAAGAAGAGGATATGGAGGGTTTTGATCAGCCCGTTACACACTAGGCCTAGATCCGAACCCCCCCCTCGGCACTCCCCCCAATGGAAGTTGACGAAACCTCCTGAGGTCCACGCGCCCGCTTGGTTTCTCGACCGCTCCCAACGCGCCTGGGCCTCTCGCCCTGCGCCCAAAAAGGGGGGAGCAAATGGCGAAACTCAAAGCTGCAGAGCTAGCCTCGACCAACTACATGGCTCGCGAGCGCCCGTCTGCAGCAAAAAAGGTTTGAACCGAACTCATAACTGTGAACCGGCGGCCCCTGCAGCCGAGCCGCCCATGCGGAGCCAAAACCGGGCGGGCTGAAACTGAACCGGCTGATTCGAACAGAACCGGCCGATCGAAACCGGCCCGAACGGTCAACCCGAACAGGTGGAACCGAACCGGCCTGCCAAAGGGGCCTCCAAGATGGCCCGAGAGGGCCCCGAGACGGGATCCGTAAAGTTCCAGCGGCCGACGGCTCCAGGAGGGCTCCAGGCTCCAGGACGGACCGAAAAAGGGCTCCAGGACGGCCCAAGAGGGCCCCCAGAGGTCCCCCAGAGAGCTCTGAGACGCCCCCGACGGATGTTACAACAGAGGGGTGCGTTGTAGCATCCGTTGGGGCCCTGCTAGGACCCCAACGAAACGCCCCAAGAGAGCTCCGCCAAGGCGCCCCCGCAGGGCCCCAAGAAGGCCCCCCCCCAGAAAGCTCGGAGGCGGCCCCGCGACGGAAGGTCTCGGCGAGCCGTTTTCGGGTCTCCAAACCTGGGGCCCAGACCTGGGGCCTGGATCTGAGGTCTGGACCTAAGGTCCGGACCTGGGGCCCAGACCTGGGGTCCGGACCTGAGGTCCGGGCCTGGACTTCTGATCGCGAAGTCGGGACGCTGTCGTCGTCGCCGCCATCTCTCCTCCTCCTCCTCCTCCTCCTCCTCCTCCTCCTCCTCCTCCTCCTGCTCGTGTTTTTGTTGGGAGGTGGTTCGATCCACGGCCGCAACGCGCAACGCGTGTAACGCACTGCGCGCCAACCTTTTCGATCACCCGAACCGGACCGTCCGAAACCGAACCGCCCCGAGGCAAAATCGAACTGGCTCAGACCGAACTGGCGCCGAACCCTCCAGCGGCAGAGGCTCGACCTCCGCCTGCCTCTGGGTGTATGCCGTTGACAACTGCTTCGGCATGAGGCTCATCATCCAGGTCACTACAAAGGAGGAGTGGCTGTGGCACCCGCGTCCTCCTGCTTCTCGAGCACCGTCGGCGGCGCACTGGGCGGAACTGGGGCAAATCTGGTCCCCTCTTCACCAGCGTTCTTCTTCCGCTTCTTGGCCATGCTGTTCTTGTGCTCGAGGTGTTCCTGCTTGATTCGCTCGACGGAGACGAGGGCGCTGGAGAACAAATCCTTCGCGCACTTCTGCAACGCCTTTTGCACGGTGGGCATCCTGCGCTTGATTTCCTGCTTGTCGCCTTCCGTCGCCTCGTACTCCACCGCATCTAAGAAAGCAGCCGTGTCGAACAGCTTGTCAACCCCAATCTTATTGTTGACCAAGCGTGCCAGGCAGATCCTGCAGGACTGTGGGGCTTTGGGCTGCACGAGATCACCTGCCAGCTCCGCAAAGAAGTCCCGATATTATTTGTCAGCCTTCTCAAGCTCAGCTTGGACATCCAGCACTCGCCCCTGCTGCTTGCTAGAACGCTCCGAGACCTCCTCGAGACGGTCTGCTTCAACTTGGAACCGGCACTCCAAGGCCACCACCTGCGAGTGGGCCGTCGAGGCCCGCTGCTGAAAAGGGTAGATCCGGCACCCCCTGGACACGCACACGACTACCAGCACGGGGGCGAGACTCAGCAGCAGGGCCGCCCAGAGCAACGAAAGGCCCCTGATGCCCTTCAGCTCGGCCAGGCTCCCGACGAAGCACACGAGGTGCAGCACCACGTGGGACCCCTTGGCCATCGATGAGATCGTCGGCCGCTTCACCTTCAGCCCTGTCAGCCCTGCAGCTCTTGCAGCGCTCGAGCCTGTCATCGTTCGTCGTGCAGCCGCACAGACCGCAGGGCCACCCGCGATGGCGAGACGGCGGGCGCCGCTGGGGGCCTCCCCGGCTCTGCCGGTCGCCGCTGGACGCAGCCGCCCGCCGCCGCGGCGCTGCCGCCTGCCGCCAGGGAGCGTGCCACCTCCCTCCCCTGGCAAGCACCCCATCTTGCCACTCTCCTCCTCCTCCTCCTCCTCCTCCCTCCTCCTCCTCCTCCTCCTCCTCCTCCTCCTCCTCCCTCCTCCTCCTCCTGCTGCTCCTCCTCCTCCTCCTCCTCCTCCTCCTCCTCCTCCTCCTCCCTCCTCCTCCCTCCTCCTCCTCCGGAGGAGGGAGGAGGAGGAGGGAGGAGGAGGAGGAGGAGGAGGCACTGCCGCGAGAAAAGGAATACCTGGTGGGAAGAGAGAGTGGCCGTGGCAAAATGGCTCGCAGTCGCCCAGCCGTTCTGAAGAGCCAGGGACTGCACGCCCAGGGACCCTGGACTCCCAAAAAGGACCTGGGCCAGACCGGCTAATTGAGTGGGGAGGAAAGGATGCACGAAGGCACAAGAAGGCAGCGGGCAGGGGGAGTGCAAGGAGCGTTCCGACGCACATGCGCGCTTCACCTGAACTCTGGGGCCGTGCTTCCATGTAGGTGCCTCGGCTGTCCCGACCGCATCGTGGACCCAAATAACCGCTGACGACAAATACTCTCCCTAATTGTACAATGTGTGTTTGCATGGCGCCGATGCCGCTATGGATGCTTATATCTTTTATTGATAGAATACACTGGTTTACATATACACACATGCTGAACGCGGCAGTCGAGCGTAAACGCGCCGAACTGAACGAAACCGGTGATACACTTCGGATGCGGGATTGTTCGATACTCAGGATGGCATTTGCCAAGGATGGAGGGCGTGATCGCAACATCACTGGAAAGAGAGCCTCTTAGCCAACGACTTATCCAAACGGCAAAGACTGTAGATTATTCTACGGCCATTGAGTATTGATAACTCTGGCACTCCAGTGGCAACGAGTGTGTTGAAAACGGGGCGGTCCCAAGGTCGCAAGGAGAGACGGACAAAGAGATGAGAGGTGATGTGATACGAGGGAGGACCATCCACAAATGAATCACTCTGGAGTGAGGACCCCAATGTGTAGGCGATGAGACGCAAGCAACGCAAGGGGGACGATAATCCGAGATCACCACTGCAGCCGAGGCACGGTTTAAAACAACCCCGCAGGCCTTTAAAGCATCGTTGAGCCATCTCCTTGTTGCTGTCGCCTTGCCCTTTCTCTTTGAAGTTCGCCTGGCTCGCTGCTTGATTGCATTGGATTGTACGACTGTGGAGACGACAGAACGAGTGCCACCAGTGGAGATGCACATACATATACATATACATATACATATACATATACATACATACATATATATGTATATATATATATATATATATATGTATACATATTTCTATATCTATATATATATATATATATATATATATATTCCTCTTCCTATATTGTTACAAGCCCGGGCGGGGGGAAAAACCTCCCCCACAAAACCGGACTCCCGGGATCTGGGGCTTTGGGACCCTCCGGACGGGCCTCGAAGAAGCCCCCCGGGCCTCGCAAGGTGTTTTGCCAAGCCTTCCCGGCACACCTAGGGCGATCAGGGGGGTCATCGGAGACGTCCCAGAGACCCCCAAGACAGCACAAAAGCGCTCCAAGAGTGACCGACGTGACCTCAAGATGGCCCAAGAGGCCCCCAGGACGGCCCCAAAGAGGCCTCCAAGAGCACTCCCAAGAAGGCCCCAAGAGGCTAAAATCATTGATTTTCTGTTGGTGTTTGGTGAATTTGGGGGTTTTCCTCTTTTCGGCTTCCCGGCGCTCCAAGACGGCGGTCTTCTGGGCGTCCGAAGCCGCCTGGCAGGCTCCAAAATGGCCCCACAACCATCCGAAAGGGCTTCCAGGCAGTCCAAGAGAGCCCCAAAACGGCACAACACGGGTCCAAGATGGCCCTCAGAGAGCCCCAGGGCGGCCCAAGATGGCCCCAAGACACCCTCCGAAGCATTCCAAATCGTGACCCAGCCGTTCAGGGAGACCGTGGCTGGAGGCAGGGTGGCCCGAGGAAGCCCCCAAAGGCCCCCTGAATACGGCCAGGGGGCCTCCAGAAGGCCTTAAGAAAGCCTGAAACAACTTTTGACAGGCCCCCAAAGGCTCTCCAAGGAGAAGCTTCCGCAAAAAAGAGCTGAGGACGATGGGGAAAATGCACAGAGTATGGCGAACATGAGGAAAAAGAAGCATGGAGGAAAGATAACGAATAACATTAGTATAGCGGCGATGCCAGAAAAGGCAACACGGAGTTATCGCTAAATTGTCGGTTTGACCTTCCTGCTATTCCGCCTGCATGCCAAATTTCAAGGACCAAGATGCATGGCGCGAAGCGCCACTGCAATCTTGTATATTTGTATAGATGCACTATATATATGTATGTATACATACACACATTTTTTACACATCCAGACTCCAATATTTCATCATGCGATCCTACCCGAAACAATTTTTTTTAAGAGGCAATTCATTGAAGCCGTGTGTATTTGTCTGGCCGTTTCGCTAGGGGCATCCCCAACATTCTGCAACTCAGACGCACCCCTTACGTAGATCGAGACGTCCAGGTCCGAAAACACAATGGACCTTTCAACATGTTAACAGAACACCTTCAAGCCCACAGTGGGTTTCAACGGTTTTGATCCCGATCATTCAAACATGCAGTTTCGCCTGGGACGTCCTCCAAACCCGAACCACTTTTTCAACACGATACTCAGAACAAACGCCGTTTCGCCTGAGACATCCACCCAACATCGAGCCCCGACGTGCAACACGCACAAACACACATGGACACACACAGAGAGAATGCACACGTAACACACACACACACCACACAAAACATACCCTACACAACACACACACACACTCTGAACACCTACAATGAACATAACACACATAACGGACACACACGCACACACAACACACAGAACACATAAAACACCCACCCACCACAAGCAACGCACACAACGCACACACAGACAACATACCTGACATACATCAACATGCAGAGCACACATACTCCACCCATAATTCACAGCTAACGCACTCACAGCACAACACACGCACACAACGAATCACAATCATACCACACACACACACCGTCCACACCACACACAGACATCCTGCACATTTGCTTGTATGAGCTTGGGCACGCTCGTGCCAGTTGAATAAAGCCCGTACGCATGATACATCGGAGGTTGGGGGGTGAATCCGACGTGAAACGGAGACACCCCCTACCGGGAAATCGATTTCGGTTTCGGGTTCGTGTCGTGCGTGACGTGCGTGCGTGCGGGCGAGGCGAAGCTGCGTGGGCGGGCGACAGGAAATCCTCCTGTGGCTGGGCCGCGGCCGAACCAAATGTTTCTCCTCTGGCGGCCGGTGGCCCGCGGTGTCCCGCCGGTGTCCCGCTGGTGTCCCGAAATCCTCCTATGGCTGGGCCGCGGCCGGACCCAATGTTTCTCCTCCGGCAGCCCGTGGCCCACGGTGTCCCGCCGGTGTTCCGCTGGTGTCCCGAAATCCTCCTGTGGCTGGGCCGCGGCCGGACCAAATGATTCTCCTCTGGCGGCCGGTGGCGCGCGATGTCCCGCCGGTGTCCCGCTGGTGTCCCGAAATGTGGGCCGCGGCCGGACACAATGATGCTCCTCCCGTCAAACGGTGGCCCGCGGTGTCCCGCTGGTGTCCCGCCGGTGTCCCGCCGTGGGTTGTGCACTTCAAAACATCGCCGCTTGCACGCACGTTCGACCACGTCGACTAGCGCTGAGGTGAGGTTCGCGCGATTGACAAGCGCACGCGGGGACAGCGCTTCACGACAATGTTGAGCGCGCTTCGCCAACATCGCCACATCACATCACGCTCACGTGCACAATCACACTACTCACTAGACTCCGCCCCACAGGCATCGTCAGAACAACAATCACCACTTTTGCCCATTGCTGCCCCCCCTCCCCCCACCTCCTTATCACCCGCAGGGTGGTCGTATAGGTAATTCTATACACACAACTGCACATGGCATCTCAAAGTAATGCAGAACGATTCTTCGCACAAGCGGCAATCGGGAGGAAGCACGCTTGACATGTATCTCCCGTTTCAACTACTCGGTGGTGTCGAGATTCCACAGGCCGCGCTGGGTACACGCCACAGGCGCGTCGGGAGATACATGAACAACACCTCACCAGAAGATTCCTATTCCTCGGATTCCCCAAGCAGATTTTGGCATCAGAGCTGTTGCGTTCATGAGCACGTCGAACCAGGGTCTAATATATTAGTTCAATGTGCGTGGTACGCAACGAACGCCCTCTGGGATCACATTGGCAGGTTAAGAGGGAAGAGAAGCGGTTAGAAGAGTGCGGGGAAGTATGGGGGGCCCTCGTTGGCATTGAGTATTTGACCTGCGGGCGACAACAAGACAGTCCGTGGTGGCTACCCCCCCACACTACTCCCATCCCCCCATGCCCCACCCGTGTCGTGACGGCGCTGGCGCCTGCGGTGGCGCGCTACAGTGCGGGACGACTGATACAATGCCCTATGCGTCCATCAAGGGTGGTATGGCCAATGCAACGATGCCCTGGCAGAAAACAAGAGATAGGCCGACGCAGCAATGCCATGGAATTGCAATCACGGGAACTGCCTGGCACACTTTACATCGGCGCCGTGTTGTGGCCGTCGCGAGGGTCGTCGTGGAAGTCGTGAAGGCGGTCATGGTGGACAGAGTGGATCGCCGGTGATGCCGCTTGAGCATGATGCATAGCCGAGCTCGGCTCATATCGCGCTCCTTGCAAGTATCGTCTCCCTCTTGATGGGGACTTCTCTTCTTGAGCGATTGCCTCCTGGGGCGCCGGGAATGGAGAGCCTGCGGCATTTTCCATATCTTCGGTGCGACCATGTAATGTTAAAGTTGTTTGTGTAATAGCGCGAGTCAAAGTGCTTCGCGTCATGGCGGGTACCAACTGCATGGGCGACCTACGCATAGGCTCCACCGGCCGTCCCCGAGGAGGCCACACTGCGAGGAGGAGTCATGCGAGGAAGAAATGGCGGAGAATGATGCGGCGGCGGTGGGATGATATGCAACGCTTTCCGAGGCTCCGCGTGTGCAAGTTACTGTCCGACGAAACTTGCGTGTCACACTTTACGCTGTGATGCCCATCGAACTCTGCAATTGCAGTGCGACCATATACTGTACTTCAGTCCTGCTTTGGCACATCTCCAAGAGTCCGATGTGCTTGCCAGCCCGAATGAAGAAACGTCTTGAGGTCATGTGGCGCACCGCAAACCTAAGCTATACTGTAGTCGATCTCACTTCTGCTGTTTTGTAACTTGCACTTGTAGGGAAACAATCGAGATATGTGTCATCTCGGCCATCGCAAGGTCGCCAAAGGTAAAACGGGTTAAAAGAAGCATCGAGAACGAAACATGGCTGTGCACTGTGGGCTGGGAGACGGGATCTGTGGGCCTTGAACTCCACTGCCCAAACGAGACCTGTGCCCAAGTCGGGGGTGGTGCTTCATCCTTTTCGTCCGCCTCCTCCTCCTCCTCCTTTAAGCATGTCTTATCAAACGATCGCACTGCGCGCCATGACTCCCAGCCGAGTCGCTGGGATGCCGGAGTAGGCGCCCTGCGTCTTCAGGACCCTGGGGCACTGAGACCTGAGGGTCGGCCCAACGGCGAGACGAGTCGAAGAGGGAGGAGGCGGACGCGAATAGAGACGAGCTGCAATTGCAGACGGTCGGGGACTCATATTAGGTCGGGCATGTCCTCCTACAGGCGGATCTGGGAAGGAACAAACAATACATATTCAAACATTTTCCAACAATAATAAAGCAATAGTCCCTTTGTGACTTTTTTTTTTTTTTTGATTATTTTGATATACTCCTCCTGTAGAGTGGCATGCCCGACATAAAACAAACTCTTAGCATGTCGCCACGGCGGTCCGGGCGACACGCCACGCCCTGCGAGCGGACAGCGGGACGGCAAGTCGGGAACCGTTCGGGCCGATGGCTCTGGGGGGCCGGGGCGTGGGCAGTGTGTCGTGCCGCGGAGTGGTGGGCCAAACCAAGCGAAAAGGCACGCTATCAAAGAGGTCCCAACCGTGCAACAGAGGCCCGACCACGAGAAACATTCCACAAGACACCCGACCCTGAGACCCCAAAACGTCCATTCATTCTTGGTGCGCGAACGTCACGCTTCCCATAACAACAACCAACGAAACCCAAGAAGCCCAGGGCACCCTGGACGCAAGCAACTAAGGTGTTTCTAGGCATGGATCTCCACAATAAACAAGGAAGATAGGAGCCCGCGCCTGTTGCTCTGCTGCCACGCCGGAAGCCGCGCCGACCAGCGCGGGCAATTGCTTATGAGGCGCACGTGCGCTGCGCGTGGTGGCACGGGTGCCACGGGTATGCGCACATGAACACGGTCCTGCAAGCGCAGCGTCCCGGGGGGGGTGCGGTTTACGGGGGGGGGTCCGGGATACATATATATATATATGTATATATATATATATATATATATATATATATATATATATATATATTTATCCACATTGCTAATGTAGACCCGTGGATACAATCCACGGAGTTGAAGGGATAGATCTTTGGCGGTGCTATCTAGGGTGTGCGACGCAGTCAGCGACCGCCGTAGATCGCGCGATGATTGTTCGAATGGCGTTCCCCTGCCGCGGGCGGCCCTGTAGGAAACCTTGTTGGAACTCCTGGGGGGGCTCCTGGGGCCCTCTGGGGCCTTGTAGGACGCTTGTCGGGCCGTCTTAGGGTCGTCTTGGCCCATTTGGGACGCCTCTTGGGCCGTTTTGGATCCATCTTGGGCCGTGTTGGGACAGTCTGGGGCCCTTCCTAGGGTCCTCTTGGGCCGTCTTGGGAGGCTCGTAGACCGTCCCGGGGCCGTCATGAACCATCTGGGGGCCTTCTTCGGAAGTTCTTGGGCGGTCGTGGGGCGATTTTGGAAGCCTCCGGGGCGGTCGTGGACGCGGGGACGACCCGAAAGGCGAATTTGCTGAAAACGTCAGTTTTCCGATAGGAGTGTGGCGATTTTTGCTGGATGGGGCTCTCTCGGGGTCCCCTTGGGCCCTCTCTGGGGTCCCCTGGGGCCCTCTTGGAGCCGTGGTGGCCAGGGGAGCAGCCTGGGCCGCCCGAGGGCCGTCTTGGATAGTCTGGGGACCCCCATGGGCCACGTAGGGGCGGGGAGCTCGGGTAACCGGGGGTCCACGCAAACCCGCCGAGGTTCCTACGGATTTATTTGAATGGATGTCTCTCTCTCTCTCTCTTTCTTTTTGTTTCTCTGTCTCTGTCTCTCTCTCTCTCTCTCTCTCTCTCTCTCTCTAAATATATATATGTGCGTCTCCCGCCGTGTGTATATACATATGCTTCCATACTGACGAAAGTTTATCCATATATAACATGTGTATATAAACATTGGCTTGCAATAGTTCGGTCATGACTTGAGACTTAACTAACTTGCGTTGGCAACGCAGGATTTCAACCGGTGGGAGTTCTAATTTCGTGTGGTTCTACGTCGGGGTTTTCAAAGCCCTGTTTATAACATAGACTCTTCTGAAATGGGAGGAAATCCCGAATTCCAGGGGGAAAGGGGTGGCAGCTTGGCGCGGTCGGACAAGGGTAAGCCTTCGCCCGCCCGCTCGCGCGGAAGTAACGTACGAAACCTGCATCACCTTGACTTGACGCTCACATGAAACGTGACGAATTGTTTTAACGGCGTAATCTGTGTACGTAAGTGTTCTCTTTGTCCCTCCCTCTGTGCCCCATCCATCAGAGGCCGCGGCTTCCCTGTCGTCTCGTTGAATACGAGGTGCTTCAAGTTGCAAGTCTTGGGCAACCCCGCCGCGGCGTTTTCCGCGAACCAGGTCCAGAGGTCGCACGTGGTGGAAGCCTGTCGCTGCTGCTGACAGCTGGTCCCTCCCCGCTTCCCTCCCTCGCTCACCTCCGTCCTCTTCCTCCATCCTCAAGCTCTCCGGGCTCACCTCCAAACCTACTTTCGTCCCCTGCTCGCTCGCTCCTCCTTTCCGTTACTCCGCCTCCTCCGCACCCCTCGATTCGATCCCCCCGCTTCCCCAGCACCTCCTCCCGCTCCATCACTGCTTCGATGTCTTCTCTCCCCCCATTACAATCCCCCCTTCTTCTTTCCATTTTCCTTCGCCCAACCTTCTCTTCCCCCATCCTCCTTGCATCGATCTCCCGTTGGTTCCGCATTCTCACCTTCCATCATTCCATCAATCTATCCATTGATCCAGTGATCCAGTGATCCATCCATCCATCCATCCATCCATCCATTCCTTCTCCTTCTTTTCCTTCCGCAAATCCTTTTCCCCGTTCTCCTCCACAACTTCTCCGCGTGTGTCTTCTCCTTTTCCGTCCTCACCCCACCCCTTTCCATTCTCGCCCTCCCACGCTTCACCCCCCCCCTCCGCCCTGCTCGTCCCCTGTTCCTCGTCGCTGTCCTCCTCATCCGCTTCCTCCTCCCCCTCCTCTCGGGCGTTGGCAGAACTGGGTTTGGTTTAATGGGACCTGGTTTAATGATCTGCACCGGGGACGCCCCCCCCGTCCCATTCCACTAACCAGAACTGCCGTCACCCGAAAAAACACCAGCTATGGCAAACCTGATTTAGTGATTCTGGCCCATTCAAGGGCTCCAGGGCCCTACAATCGGGTCCCCTTACCTGGGGTCCTGGCCAAACCCGATCATCCCCCATACACACCCCGTCAATTCGATCCCCTGCTTCACCCCACCCCCTCCTGCTCCATCTATGCTTCCATGCTTTCTCTCCTACTCCCGCTTGCAGTCTCCCCTTCGTTACCCTTGTCATTCCTCCTTGTCTGCGCCTCCAGCTCCTCCTCCCACCTCCTGCATTCCCCGATCTCCCTTGCATTCTGCCTTCTCCCCATCCGCTCCGTTCCTCCTCCTCCTCCTCCTTCTTCTTTTTCTTCTCCTTCTCCTCCTCCTCCTCCTCCTCCTCTCTCTCCTTCCGCACCCCTATTCGTCTCATTCTCCTCCACCATCTCATGGCGCCTTTCCCTCGCCACCCCTCCTTGCTCATTCTCGCCCTCCCGCGCTCCACCTACCCTCCCTCCTCGTCCCTCCTGATCGTCGTTGCGCGCCTCATCCGCCTCCTCTTCCCCTCTTCGCCTCCTCCCTCTCCTCCTCCTCCTCCTCCTCCTCCTCCTCCTCCTCCTCCTCCTCCTCCTCCTCCTCCTCCCCCTCCTCCTGTTCCTCCCTACGTTCTGTCCCTCAGTTCCCCCCTGCGCACCGTTTTGCTGCCGCCGCCCCACCCCTCCGACTGCCCGCGCCCCTCCGAGAAACCCAGATCTCCGACGTGGTGAACTTTAGACCCCTCGAAATTCAGACCACCTCCGCGGGACTGGCTTCCCACTTCGAGCCGTTGTGCTGACGGCCCCAGGGCCCAGACAACGGCCACATACAGATATATCGATTTATATATAAATATAAACATTGTATGTATGCATACATACATACATACATACATACATAAATACATACATACATACGTACGTACGTACGTACGTACATACATACATACATCCATACATCCACACATCCATACATCCATACATCCATACATCCACACCTCCATCCATCCATACATACATACATACATACATACAGACAGACATGCATACATGCATACATGCATACATGCATACATGCATACATGCATACATGCATACATACATACATGCATGCATGCATGCATACATACATATGTATGCATGCATGCATGCATGCATCCATCCATACATACATGCATGCATACACACCTACCTACCTACCTACCTACCTACCTACATACATACATCCATACATACAACCATACATGCATACATACATACATACATACAGACAGACAGACAGACAGACAGACAGACAGACAGACATACACACACATCCATACACACATACATACATACGTACATACATATGTATATATACATATATATACATATATGTATATGATTTATGCATGTCTAAAAAAGTGTTCATATATAAAAACAATGTGTGTGAGAGAGAACGACACACAAAACTGCGGACGTCCGAATTGCATTCGGAAGCTAGTGACAACAATCTACTATAGCGTACTGCTGGAGGCCCTGCTGTGAAACAGCGACGAGTCGGGCAGAAGCGACAACAACGACGACGAGGGGAAGGACGGCGCAAGACAGAAGCGAGGCAGGGGAGAATACAGAAGCGACGCCTGAGCTGCATTGTGAAAATCTGCCGGCGTGCCCTGAGACACGAGTTGAGGCGGCCTGAGGTCCTTGGCCTAATCCCTCAAGCCCCAGTCCTCAATCTTGAGGATTTTTAAAGCCTGGACGCTAAATCTCTTGGGGCTCCTGGCGTGCCCTTTGGGGACTGTCGCCTAGTCAAGACGGGCTAAAATGGCTCCAAGAGACCGCACAAACGACCCAAGAGGGCCCCGAATCGCTGCGCGGTCGCTCCAAGACGCCCAAGATGGCCCCAAGACGGCCCAAGAACCCCTCGAGGCGCCCCAAGAGAGCTCTAACAGCCTTCCCAGTAGGCCCCGAGATGCCAAAATCAATGCTTATCTTTGGATTTTTCCATGTTGTTGGGGTCCTCGACGTTTCGAGCTCACGACGCTCCAAGACGGCCCAAGACCCCAAGAGGGACGTTCAGACAGCACAAGAGGGTTCCATGACGGACCCAGAGGCGCCCAAGACGGCCCAAGAAAGCCCAAAGACAGCCTCAAAGTGGGCCCAAGAGGGGAAACACGAACCGAAAATCCCAGTCTTCCGCCCCGAAGAGGCCCCCAGGATGCCCCAAGAAGACCCCAAGACCACCAAGAGGCCCCAAGAGGCACCAAGCAGGCCCCCAAGAAGCTTCGCAACGGCCCCCAAGAGGCAACCCGAGAGGCCACCCGCGACATCCCAGCGATCATCCTAGAGGCCTATGACCCACAACGTAGGCACGGTGGCGGGATGGGTCGAAGACCATTCGATAATGACGCAATATGCTATGGTACACTGCCAGAGGCCCTGCTGTGGAACAACGAAGCGTCGGGCAGAAATGACAACGACGACGACGAGGGGAAGGACGGCGCGAGACAGACGCGAGGCAGGGGAGAAGACACAGGGATAATTAGGTCAGGACAGGCCTGTATGCCCTCTGCAGGACGGCCATTCAGCGCAGGGGCGAAGAAAATACAGCGAGGCTAGTTGGACTGGGCAGACAGCCTTGTGCCAGGCGGTGCGTTGGCCACTCGCGATCAATGGACGTCCCCTCATGGACCGAATGGAAACTACGACAATGATCCGCCACCGTGTCCGCTGGAACGTTGGGACGTGCTAGAATACCAAGTGCTGCCTGGCTAAGGCCATCCCCCCGCGGGACGCGCCCAGCGGCATGCACCACCCCCCTCTGCTCAATGCCAGAAACCCTAGCAAAATACAATTGATTCGCGCTCCCGAAGCCCAGATGCCTCCAAAACGGCCCCATATTGCTCCAAGACGGAATCCTCTGGCCTCAAGACTGGTCGAGATGGCTTCAAGACGGCCCACGACGCCTTCGAAGCGTCCCAAGATGCTTCCCGAGAAAGTCCCGTGATGCAGAAAACATTGATGTTCAGCAGGTGTTCACTGCTTTCAGGGTGTTCGCCTTTTCTAGCTTCCGACGCTCCAGGACGGCCCAAGAAACATCTAAGACTGGCCCGAGACGGCCCAAGAGGCCCCAAGAAGGCTCCAAGAGAGCCCGAAGGGCACCGAAGACGGCCCGATACGGCCCCAAGAAGGGCCCAAGACGACGAACACGAACCGACAATTCGAGCCATCCCCCACGATGCCCCAAAGAGGCCCCAAACCAACACCCAAGACGCCCAAAGAGGCCCCACGACTGGCCAAATGAGGCCCATGAGGGCTACTCCAAAAGTGAAAACGAAATGTGACACATATGACGGCGGTCCTCGTCTTCCTCCTTCTCCCCCTCCTCCTTCTCCACATCATCGTCTTCCTCCTCCTCTTCTTCTTCCTCATCATCCTCCTCTTCCTCCTCCTCTGCCTCCTCCTTCTCCTCCTCCTCATCTACATCATCATCGTCTTCATCATGATCAGCAGCAGCACCATCAGCAGCAGCACCACCACCACCATCACATTCATGATCATCATCAGCATCATCAGCATCATCAGCATAACCAGCATCACTATCATCATCAACAGCATCATAATCATCATCAGCATCATCGTCGTCACGAGCAGAATCATCATACTCGCCAATATCATCATCACCAGCATCATCATCATCATCATCAGCAGCAGCATCATCATCGACACTACCACCACCACCATCACCATCATCATCATAATCAGCATAATCAGCATCATTAGCATCAGCACTGTCATCATCTTCATCAACATCGTCATCATCATCATCACACTCATCGCCGCCATCACGATCATCATCGGCATCATCACCATCACCAGCACGAGCCGAGAGAACATTCTATGATATGAGACGAGTTGGGCGGGCGGCCGGGACTTCTGGCTGCCATGGGCGGATCGGAATCGCGCGCAGGGTGCGGCAAGACAACAACCCCACACACTGAAGACGTGGAGCGTTCGCTGCCCTTCTCCACGTACATCATGATCCTCCTCTTTCCTCCTGATTCCTCCTCCTCCTCCCTCCTTCCTCCTTCCTATTCCTCCTCCCTCCGTAGTCCTCATTACTCCTCTTTACTCCTCCTCCTCCTCCTCACTCGTTCCTCCTACTCCCTCCTTCCTCCTCTCCTCCTCCTCAACCTCTTTTCACCTTCGCATCTCCTCCTCCTTCCCGGGCAATACGTTGAATAACGTTGTGCCCAGAAGATCCAGTCGCCTGGTATCCCACGAGCCCTTTACGAAGTATGTGGTTTAGGGGGCGCGTCCACTTCTAACCCACGTCTTTCCCTTCGGGGGGAGGGGACCCTTACTCCTACTCGCTCCCCCTGAGTCTTGACCGGACGCCACGCGGGTCGTTATAGCGTCGAAGAAGGCCTCAGCGAGAAAGCACAAACGATTGCCTTCCATTCATAATGCTTGGGCCAATGTTGGCCCCCTTGGGGAGGGGGACGCCGATTGAGGACCCCCTCTTCTTTGATCGCTTGCCTCCCGGATGGCCCCAAGAGGGCCCGAAAAGCCTGAGAGAGCCTCAAAAGGCCCCCGAGATGCCCCCAACAACAGGCCCCAAGAGGGCTCCCCAGAGGCACCCAAGCCGCTGCAAGAGCATCCCCGAGAGCAGGCAAGAGGCCCCCAAGACGCCCAAAGATGCCTGTAGACGCTCTTAACAGACACCCCACAAAAGCCAAGGAAGCATCCAAGAGGCGTCTGGAGCACACACGCCCTCAGATATCTCCAAATGGTGCCACGCTCCCCCGTTCAAAGCAGCTCCACTGGGCACTGTGTCTGGATGGTCTGGTGGGGACGCGCAAAGCCGTAAAAATCAATCGAAGAAACGCTGTGCGAACCATCACAAGACAGACAAACGTGATGTCCTGCTGCCCCAGTCGGTGTCAGATGCGCAAGCCTGTGGTGCGCACGAGAGGGGATAGCCCCAAAGGAGAACATGCGGCACTGGCGAGGTGCTAAGGCTGTGCGGTGATGTGTGCCTCACAGCAACCTTCTCCGAGGCGGAGGAGGAAGAGGAGGACGAGGAGGAGGGGGAGGAGGAGGAGGAGGAGGAGGAGGAGAAGGAGTGTTCCTCCGAACTGCTCCTCCTCGCTGGGGGAGACCGCGGGCGTCGCCTGGCACGCGCTGCAGCACTCGCCCCACGAATCCTCAGCGCGCACGGCGGGATGGTGCCGCCACCAGAGGGTGGGGGGCTGAAAGTAAAAATGGTCAGAGCCAGGACGCCAGACACGCATACGTACAGTCGGGGCGTTGACCTAAGGAACCTTAAATAAGGAACGAGGCCCTTTTTTCCATAAGTTAACCTTCGATTTCCGATCGAAAACATAAGGAAAACCTGAGGCAAGCTGCGAAACACATAAGGAACGCGGAGCCCCTCCCCAACGAAAAGGGTTCCTTCTTCAGGGCCCCGACTGTATATCCGATACATGCCTACATATCTGTGGTCTCCAGACAGCTGCCCAATTAGGATTCAGGGGCTCTTGCTTCTGTCACTCAGGACTCGTGTGGGTCCGACGAGGATTCGTCACGTCGCCGCCCGTTGCCGCGCGTCGCAGCCTCGTTGCCGCTTGGGGGGTCCGCCGAGCGTTCGCGACGTCGCCGCGCGTTGCCGCCACGTTGCCGCCACGTTGCCGCCCAACGTCGCCGCATTGCCGCTCGTGGGGTCCTCCGAGGATTCGCCACGTCACCGCCCGTTGCCGCCTCGTTGCCGCTTGGGGGGTCCGTACAGTAGGGGCTCAACCACAAGAAACCTTCCACGCTAAACCCAACCCTGGAACCCCAGGACGTCCACTGATTTTTGGTATTCGGACGTCACGCTTCCATGGCAAAACCATCGAAACTTAAGAAACCCAGGGCACCCTGAGGGCAAGCAGGGTGTTTCTTGGCATGGGCTTCCACTGTAGAGGATTCGCCACGTTGCCGCCCGTTGCTGCTCGTCGCCGCTCGTTGCCACCTAGTTGTTGCTTGCGAGGTCCGCGGCAAATTCGCTACGTTGCCGGCCGTTGCCGCCTCGTTGCCACGTCACCACACAGCGTACACCTCATAGCTTGCCTCACGTAGACTACACCACAGAGCTTCCACCACTTAGGATATACAACATAGAGCACACAGATACGTTGTAATAACTTCCTGGCTGGGATCCACGATGTTCAACATACGCATGTGCGGTATACATGCTACATAGATGTATAGATATAGGTGTGTAGGTGTATATGCATCTGTCTGTTCAGTCACATGTCTGTATACCTGTATACATATACACATGACAAATTGTTGCCCATGTATGAACAGTTTGCATACCCTACATGTACGAAAACGTGTGAATCTGTATACCTATACAGCGATTGGCGCGAAACGATCGCAAACCGAAAACGGGAACCATTTCCTCCAGACTCGTTATCACCCGAAGGGTCGTCCTGGAGGTCGACACAGCAGGCCGTCGGACACTCCGAGCTCCATCGATCATCATAGCAGTAGCTTTGGGAGGGGGGGCGAAAGAAAGGAAGAGACAGACAGACAGACAGACCGGCAGATAGACAGACAGACAGTCAGAGAGGGAGAGAGAGATACACACAGGCAGAGACACACAGATCGAGATATAGCGAGACAACTCCTGGTGTCCTGGTCTGTGACGGATGCACGCCATTCGTATGGCCACCCTACACATGAGACTGGCGCGTATACCTCGAGCACTCTGGTGGAAGCTAGAAGTTCGGGAGGGAGGATGGGAGAGGAGAAGGAGGAGGTGCAGGGGAGAGAAGGGGACAAAAAAGAGGGGAGCGGGAAAGGGGAAGAGATAGGAAGAGGTGGGGGGGGGACGGGGAAAGGGAGAGGACGAGGGGAGAAGACGAGGGGACAAACGTGCCCCGTTGTCACGCGGGGATCGCTGGCGGCCTGAGGGGGTTGCCGTGATCAGATGGTCGTCGTGGTCATTGGTGTAGATACTGTAATCCGCCGAGCTGCCCGTGCCTCTCTCCTTTCCCTGACTTCCCTCTGCCGCCTTGCTGCTCCCACTGGCCTTGCTCCGCCCCGGCATCCCCTGTCGCTCCCCCATCCTTTTTTCCGTAGAAAAAAGCAGCTGGCATACATCTAAACTTCCGGAGCTCTGGGCGGATTTCATGGATCGGTGCTGGACCCCCCTTCTTGGCGCGCGGAGCGCGCCAGGGGCGGCGCCGGAGGCACCACCAGGGGGGCCCAACGCAGATACATCCAAGAAGTCCGCGCGGAGCTCGGAATGTGTAAGCCATGCAACCTGATCTTCTTCGAATCCCTCACCCTCGCTCCTCCCCACTCCTTCCCTGTTGTGTATCTATTCGCCCCCTCACCACCCCACCTGCCTTTCTCTCCCTGCAATTCTGCTCTCATTCCAGAATCTGACGATTTTCTTTCGTCAATCGGAGAGGCACATCCGAGACGTGGTGGAAGGGGTTCGCTCTCGAGGGTGCGTAATCCGATCGAGCATTACCGCGAGCAGACGGCGACACGCATCACCCAATCGACCGAACTGCGGACAACCCAGCCCCTGTTCCGTGCACTCCCTGCCGTGCCCTGCCCCTCCCCCTTCATTTTCGCCCCGCTGTCCCGTGTGTGAACCACCCTGCCCAGGGTGCCAAGGTGGCGCATCGGAATGCACCGCCGATGGAGTGCCAAAACATGCGCACCCATTCCAAGCCGCCCGCGGTGCGCTCGGGGGGAGGGGCGGAGGCTCGGAGGCAACTTCTGGGAGGTCCTCGCAAGAACGCTGGAAGGATTGAGCCCGACCAGAGGGCCACCGAGTTGGATCAAGCCAGACTGCGTGGGATTGGGCAGGATGAGTCGGCTACGCGGAAGAGTGAGCCTGAGTGAGACTGACCTTTGGAGCGCGGCTTTTTGGGACCGCGGGGGGTGGGGGGCCAACACACAAGCGCGCAAGCCGCTGCTACCGCTTCTCTTTCAGCCATCTGGAGACCCATCTGTGCCCACACCAAAAGTCACCGCCGCGAAGGGTCACTCTCACGCCTAGTCGACATGAACCGAGACTGTGCCGGCTGATGCGGAATGCGGAGCCAGATTTGGGAATCCGTTCCCTGCGGCGCCCCGCACCAGCTGCTGCGTGCGGGACTGGACTTGGGGACTCGGCCTTCCAGGGGAGGTGCACCCTCATCGAGGTGCGCGGCGTCGTGGGGGCCTGGGGAGGGGGGGCGGCGCCGCAGGGCGGGGTGGGGTTGGGGGTGTTGGGCCCTAGCCCGCGGCCCCTGGCCCAGCGGTGGCGCCAGGCCCGGGCTGCACAGGAAAGAACACTGCGGGAGAGCAGCTCGCCGCGCCCACGGCACACCCGGGCAGGCCCTCCCCCCGAAGCACTTGACTGCGGCGGCCATGGGCGTGCAGGCACTTCCCTCGAGCGCTCGCAGCGGTGAGCGTGGCCCGGGCTCGCTTGCTCCTTATGCGAGCCCCCCCCCCCCTAGCTACGCGAGATAAGTGTGGCCACCCAAGCAACCCGGCTGTTGAATCAGTTGTGGCACGCGGTCTCCTGTTCATCGCCACCACCTGGCACTGATGTCCTCCTCCTCCTCCTCGTCGCCATCCGGCGCCGACCTGGCCAAACATGTATGTACCAACCAATTCTCCGTCCTGCTGCCTGCGCGAGGTTTGGCGTGCAGACACATGCGTCTAAGGCGGTTCCTCCAGACTCCTTCTCCCCCAGGGAGACGAGCAGGAGGGAGAAGGATGAGGTGGGGAGAGAAGTGGGCATGGAAGGGCACGAGTAAGGATGGATGGCGCGAGGAGGGAGGGAAGAGGATTATGACTATGAAGATGAAGAGAGAGAGAGTATGAGGCAGAGGAGTCGAACGAAGAGGACTAAAATGATGACTAGGAGGACAGACTCACGACCATAGTGGACCAGGACCCATCGGAGGGGGAGGAGAGAAAGACGACGACGAGAAGGAGGATGAGGAGGACGACGACGAAGAGGAGAAGGAGGAGGAGCCAGACCCCTGCAAACGATGCGTTAGTGAACGGGCCAGCAGCTAAGTGTGCGTTTTCAATGGTGTTTTCAATCAATGATTCGCCGCGCACAAGTGCGAGGTACCCCTCCCCGCCCAGAGTAATGATGATGTGTCGACGTTTTTGTCGTCCCGATGCATCGCGCACTAGTGCGAAGTCAATGCCCTGTCACCCCGTCCCCGCTCAAAGCGGCCCCTTCGCTACACCCCGGTGACTAACGCCCCGTTTGCAGGGGCTTGGGGAGAAGAAGGAATAGAAGGAAGGTGAGGAATTCGCCGGCCCAACGGGCCAGAGGCGTGCTAAAATCTCTAGTACGGGTCTAAGAATGTTTCTGATTCGCGCGCGCGTGGCGGGCCCTGGGGGCTCCCGGACGAAAAGTACCCTGGCTGGGTCCTGGCAAGTCCAGATCGGAGATGCCGTAACTCCTGGGCGCGGCCTCGGGTGCCCCCAGAGCGCCCCAATGATGCGCCAAATGGGTGGCAGGTCCCATAGCCTCGGGCGAAGAACGTTTCAAGATGACCCAAGTTGGTCCCAAGACGGCCCGAGAAGCGCCCAAGACGCCCCAGGAGGGTTCCAAGAGGACTCGAGACGCCCCAGAGGCACTAAAATCATTGATTTCGCAGAAAGGTTTTCGGACGATTTTGCCGGTACCGCCTTTTCGGGCTGTCGACCGCCCTGGACGGCCCAAGAGGCCACCAAGACCGCCCCAAGGCAATCCAAGAGACCCCCAAGACGGGCCCGAGACGGCCCAGAAGAATCACAAGACGACCCAGGAGGTCTCCACCGAGGGCTCCCGACGCTCCCGCGAGCTCTCCAGGAGGGGGGAACTCGATCCCACATATGTATCGAGCCTGCCCCGAACGTTCGCACCCCAGGAAACCCTCAATATGGCCCAAATTGGTCCCAGGACGGCCCGAGAAGCGCCCAAGACACCCCAGGAGGATTCCAAGAGGACTTCGAGACGCCCCAGGGGCATTCAAATCATTGATTTCGCAAAAAGGTTTTCGGAAGATTTTGCCGGTACCGCCTCGTTGGCCTGTCGACCGTCCTGGACGGCCCAAGAAGCCACCAATATCGCCCCAAGACAGCCCAAGAGACCCCCAGACGCACCAGAGATTCTTCTGCTGGGACAATCCTGCACTTCGTCAGGCCTCCTGGAGACCGTCCGCAACCCTGTAAAAGTGTATGGGCGCGTCTCGAAGCTCTGCTGCAGCTCTCTTGAACCATCCAGTGGCACCACCAGCCAACGGCGATGCGAGATGGGCCGCCGGAGTGAGCGAAGCGATTAAATGCTAGTTATGCGAAGCGAAGCGAGCGGTGCGATTTATCGTATCGGTAGTGAGGCGGCACAAGAGGTGAGCGGTGAAATCTACCTGGTCGTGGTGAAGTGCAAGCCTGAAGGGGCCCTGGGACACACAAATAAATACACACAAATAAAAATATGCCCCATAGTTTCCCATATTTTCTGGGTTGTTGTCTTCCCCTCCACTTCCCGAATTTTCACATATTTTCCTGGGAGTCGACGATTAATTGTGTCTGTGTTTTCTTCCCCTCTTGAGAGCCAGCTCCCCAGCAAGCGCGGTCCGCTCGAGCCTCGCCAGCGCGCCTCCGGAGCACGAGCAGCGGGGGGCGCGCAGCGGCGGGGTCGCGGAGCGCACTGGACCGTCGTTCGCCCAGCTGCAGTCGGGGCCGGTGTCATTCGGGTGGATCTGCCAGCCCATGCTTTCAGTGTGCCCCCCCCCGCCTCTCGATCTGGCCGGCGGGAAAGAGCAAGAGGGAGGCAGGCGAGGGGAGGGCGGGAGGGAGCAATCGAGGAGGACGGACGGGCAGGAAGAAAGAGGACACGACGAGTCCAGTGCCATGCTGTTGGCCCGTACCATGAGAATGCGCGACAAGGATGCAAGGGCCTCAGGCGCCCATTTCGAGGCTTTCCCGGTGGGGCGCGGCCAACGAAAGTGGCCAAGGATGGACCGAGGAGGCAAGGTTGCCCATCGTTATTATGAAGGTTGACTGTACACCCTGTCCCGTTGGGGCGCGTCGTGATGCCCGCTCGAGGAAGCTTTGTGAAGTCTTCCAGGAGCGACCCCCCCTTGGCCGCCGCCCCAAGGAAGTGGAATCCAGAAGGCCCCTTCTCAGAGCCCCCAGTCGGCCCCCAGGGGACCACTGACAGGCACCCCAAGACGCTACCCCCACAGGCAGGACAGCTCGAGACCGCCTCAAGCGAGCTCCAAGAAGGCCCCAAGATCCAGAACGACCGCCCCAAGATGGCTTCACCGAGTCGCTTCGAGAGCTCGGTAGAATCATGGCATCCGAGATGGCCTCAAGATGTCCCAAACACCCCTCAGCAGGTTCCCCAACGCCCCTCAGAGGGTCCCAACGAAGCCCCAACAAGGCCCCCAAGAAGCCTCCAAGAGAAAGGAGCGATGAAGATGAGGATGAGGCTGAGGAGGGAGGCTGAGGAGGAGTAGGAGGAGGGAGGAGGAGGAGCAGGAGGAGGAAGAGGAGGAGGATAATAATAATAATCATACTAATAATAATAAGAATAATAAGAATACCAATAATAATAATAATAACAATAATAATAATAATACTAATAATAAGAATAAGAATGATAATAATGATGATGATAACCAACACGATGGCAAGGAATATGTGTTTTGACTGTCTGAGATCCCAGGACACTGTACAAGCAAGCGCAAATATTACACTCCCTCCCTGTCGCGCTGCTGAGCTAGCACCTTGGCACAGGCCATATGCAGCTGGGCAGGAGCAGAACGGTTAATACGAATGAGCACACAAATCTTGATGATGTAGTGAAGTGGAGGGAAAGACAATGAAGAGGAGGGTGAGGGCATGATGACTGATATGGGCGCGATGGAGAGGAGGAAAAGGAGGAAAACGGTGGAGAGGAGGAAACGAAGAAGGAGTAGGAGTGATAAGGACGGGAGGCGACGGAAACGCACGCTCGCAGTGCGCCATACTCAGAAGGCGGCTTGGCCTGCGCCTTGGCAATGTGGTCAACTGCCAGCTGCCACCCACCTAATCTCTTGCGGGGTCAGAGGGCGCGTGAAACTGACGAGCGCGCATCACCACCGCAGCATGTGCCGGCCAATCATGATTTTCCTATTTTGGTGCACACGTGGTTAGCTTGACCTCCAAGATCTGAATCGGTGACCCTGGCATTCGTGGGTGGTGGATCGCGTTGCCCTCCTCCCTCCTCCCTCCTTCCTCCTCCTTCTCCTCCTCCTGATCCTCGTTCTCCTCCTCCTCCTCCTCCTCCTCCTCCTCCTCATCATCATCATCATCATCATCATCATCATCATCATCACACCCGTCTTATGAATGTAAAAAGTGGCGGCTGCTCCGGATCCAGCGCGCTGGATGTATACAGAGCCCGCTCCTTGAGATGCCGCTCTCCCGCACCGCACGGCTTGGCTTCGCCATACGGGTCGGCGCTGGAGCCCCCCCTTGCCGGCGCGTGGGACGCCCCCTGGGACGGCGTCGGAGGCGCCCTCAGAGGGGCCCAGCGCCGATCCAGGAAGTCTGCGCGGACAGATGACAAACCCCTTTCTCCTCCTCTTCTTCTTCTGCTGCTGCTGCTGCTTCTTCTTCTTCTTCTAGTCTTCTTATTTGTATTATTATTTCCTCCTTCTCGTCCTCTTCATCCCTCCTCCTCCTCTTCTCTCCTGTCCTTCTCTCTTCCTACGCTCTGAGAGCGTTCTGGAACGCTCTGGACTGGATTTCTCATCGTCCCAGCCTCGTCCGGCCCTCCCCCCCTCCCTCCTGATGGGCCTGCTTTCCACCACCACCACCACCACCACCATAAGTTGGAAGGGGGAAGGAGGTGGAGGATGAGGAGGAGGAAGAAGAAGAGGGGGAGGAGGACCCCCTTCCCCCCTCCCACTCATGGCGGTGGTGGTGGAAAACGGGTCCATCCATCTCCTGCTCCTCAAGAGGCGTGGCGCCCTCGCGCGGGAGGGCTGCCACGAGGCGGGGCCCTCCCGCGCGAGGGCGCAGGACACACACACACACACACAAAGACAGAGAGAGGCGTAGTCGCCCACGCTTTGACGATGATCTCGTGCAGCCACGACTCCTCCCGGGAGGACGCCAGGCGGGGCGCCCGCGTACTGGGCGTGCTACGCTGTTCGTCGTCGTCGTTATCGTCGTCGTCGTCGTCGTCGTCGTCGTCGTCGTCGTCGTCGTCGTCGTCGTCGTTAGCCTTGCCCTGCCCGAATCCCCCCGATCCTCCATATGCTCTTCCCCTGATACTCCCCCCCACCTCCCGATGTTTGTTCTCCCCACCACGCCTCTCGTCTTCGTCCATATCCTGCTGGACGGCGATCTGACATCGTGAAGCCAACCATGGGGCCGCACTCGTGCCAAACGGCGGGCGACTTTACCCACAACCGTGCCGCGAAGCACTGAATTGGAGTGTCCTCAGGTTGTGAAGAGTCCTCAATTATCAACGCTGCGTATTTGAATACTCTGCAAGGGGCCGAGACCCCCAGTTATCAGATTTCAGGGGGTGCGTAGGGTGTCCCCGCAAGACTCATAAGGGTTGTTTAGGGCCAAAGGGTCTCATCCAGCCCCGAAGACGGCCCAAGAGGACCCGATACGGCCAAGAGCGCTCCGAGACGGCCCGACGAGCGCCCTGGGAGCGGGCCTAACAGGCCCAAACCGTCCACATCCCTTGGGTTCTTGTACGAGTTGGATCGTCTTCAATGTCTTCAAGTCTGTGAGGAGCGTCCAAGACGGCACAAGAGACCCCCAAGATAATTACAAGACGGCCCAAGAGCCCCCAACAGGGGGCCCAGAGGCCCCTAAGACGGCCCAGAAGTGCGTCCAAGAGGGAGAACACTCCGCCGGAAGATGGCCCCCAGATCCCCCCAGGACCCCAAGAGGCCCCATGAAGGCACCAGGAAGCCCCAGAGAGGCCTCCAAAAACCCTCCGAGAGGCGCCCTCAGATACCATGATATGCATCCAAGAGGCCTCTGACCGACAACCCGGGCACGGTGGCAGGATGGGCCGCCCCCCGGGGGCCGATGGGACAGGCCGCGCCCCCTGCAGCACCTCCGATTCTCCCCCGCACAGCTGTCCTCGAAGAGGTCCAGCCCCTCGCCCTCGAGGTGCTTCGGAGGCCGTGGAGGCACAGCCAGAGCCCCCGCTGAGGATCTCTGAAGGCTCCGGCCCTGGCCCTCCATAGCTTTCGAGAGCCACAAAGACACCTGAAGGATCGACCTCCGAGGACGAATCTCTCCTAGACTTCTTCAAGCGTGCCTATCTCGTGAGGGGGAAGGGAGGAGGAAGAGGAGAAGGGAGACCGCGCATCACAGGTTAGACATGAGCTCCGTGGGTAAAGAACGCCACCTGACCTTGTGCTTAGCATGCCGCGCAGCAGGCTCTGGCCCACCACGCCTCGGCGCGACACGCTAATTAACTACTTCCCGGCATCGACGGCCCGAGCATTCCCCGCAGCCCCGCCCCACGGAGCGGAACGACACGCTACCCGCTTGCAGGGGATACCGTGTCGCCAGGGCTGCCGCTGCGACACGATTTGGGCAAACGTTCCCGACCGCAGGGTGCGCCATGCCTCCAGCGAGGTGCAGAGCTAGAGGCCTCCTCGGTAGGGGTCGGAGTAGATGGGGTCGGAGGATGGCGCCGCATCGCCGCTGCATCGGCGCTGCATCGGCGATGCACCGTGGATGCGCCGGCGACGCATCGTCGACGTCGGCGACGCATCGGCGACGTCGACGTGCAGCAAATCGGGCTCCACATCGAGCCGCATCGGCGATGCATCGGCGATGCGGCGCGATCCTCCGACCCCGCCTGCTCCGACCCCGCCTAGGAGGCCTATCGGGGATGGACAGACCCCCCTTTAGTAAAACGTGGTTTAGTGAAAACGACCTGAGGCCCAAACCTGGCGGGCGCAAGCCTGGATTTATCGGCCACGGCGCCCTCTCGAGAGCCGAAAACAGACAATTCACTAATCGACGTGTCACTGTTGGGGGTTCTGTCCTAGAAGAGCAGCCCCGTCCTCCAGCGGCACGTCCCTCTGGGTCTGGCCCTCGCCGCCGCCCTCGAGGCCCGACGCCGCCGCCCCGTGGGCCTCGCGCTCGTCGTCCTGGTCCGGTGGGGCGCCGGCTCCTGCGCTTTCGTGCTCGGGCGAAAGCTGGAGGGGCGGCGTGGAGGGGAGGAGTGAGAAGAATGAGCACTGAAGAAGAAAAGTAAGAAGCATAACATAATCATAATAATAACAACAATAGCAAGAATAATACTGAACATCCTAATGATACTAACAACAATACTACTAATACGAATGATACCAATAACAGAACATAATAGCAATACTAAGCATAATGCTAAGACCAATGATAAGAAAGGAAGAAGGAAAACAAGGATACCGCCCCCTGCTCGTCGTCCCCCTCCTCCACCTTCGCCTCCTCCTCCTCCTCCTCCGCCTCCTCCACCTCCGCTCGTCGTCCTCGTCGCGTCGTCCTCCTTCTCCTCCGTCCCCCCTCGGCACTCTCAACCTGCCTAGTGGGACAATGCTCCTCTCTGTCAGTCGTCGGTTCACGAATCTCCAGCGCTTGGCATGGTAGCAAACCCTATAGTCGAGCATGGTGGGAGGAGGACGGGATGACTGGACGATGGGGGAAGGTGGATGAGTGAGGCGGAGTGGGAAGGCAGGTAGCAGCAGGTTTGAGGGAGGGAGGGAGAGAAGAAGAGAAGGCGGACGCGAAGCAGGAAAAGGCGACCTCGCGAACAGCTTCGCTCGCACGTCTCAGCACGAGAGAGGGAACTACGACTTCCCAATATGAGAGTCATGCCATTCGCAACGCCCGGCCCAAACAGGCAGAGTGAAGCGCAATGCAAGGCAAGACCGGGTCACCGAGGACAACCCTTTGGAGCCACCACGGCCCCCCAAATAGCCGCCGAATTCCGAAGGAGTTGCGCGATAACTTTTTCTTGTTTGAAAGCATGCAGCGCTGGGCGCGTAGGCCAGCCTGTAATGCCCCCTGACGAGCATCCACGTTGAACCAAACATTACCGCGGCCGTCGCCATCATCACCGCCAAAACCACAAGATAACAAATGTTACAATCATCGTCGGGCTGAGGTCAAGTCAGTCTGCGTCGCCGCACATCGACTCTTTACCGAAGCTGAGCGCCGCGAGCCCCCAGCAGCATTCGTCGACAGCTGTCAAAAGCAAAACCGCCGAAATGGTCCTTGAAAGGGCCGCCAGGAGGGCCGCCGAAAGGGCCGCCGAAATCGTCGCCGAAATCGCCGCCGAAATTGCCGCCGAAATTGCCGCCGAAATCGCCGCCGAAATTGCCGCCGAAATTGCCGCCGAACTTGCCGCCGAACTTGCCGCCGAAATTGCCGCCGAAATTGCCGCCGAAATAATTGCGAACTCCGTCAAAATAGCCGCCGGAAATCAGCCGCCGAAATCGCCGCCGAAATTCAGCCGCCGAAATTTTCATTGCCCCGTCGCAAGCGAAATCGCTGTTCCAGTAAGCGCGATGACGCCGCAGACACAGGCATAGAGTCACAGCCAAGGTCAAATTCGGTCTTTTCTCGGCGGAACCATCTGGAATTTCGGCGGCAATTTCGGCGGCAATTTCGGCGGCAATTTCGGCGACGAGTTCGGCGGCAATTTCGGCGGCAATTTCGGCGGCAATTCTGGCGGCCCTTCCGACAGCTCTTTCGGCGGCTCCTTCGGCGGCAATCTCGGCGGCTCTTTCGACGGCTCTTTCGGCGACCATTTCGGCGACGTTGATTTTGCCAACTGTCGACAATGGCTGCCGGAAGCTCGCGGCACTCGGCGACCCTGGCGGGCCCTGAGAGGGCCCTCGAAGGGCCTCACCAGAAAGCGTCTGCGAAGTAGCTCAAGCCATGCGTGATTTGCACGCGATGGCATGCGCAACGTGCAATGTGAATGCCTCGCATTATACGTCAGCACGCTCTAAGGTGCGTCTGGGAACCACCGCGCGGCAGGGCGCGCCTGCGCACTGAAACTCTGAGAAAAACCTCAATTTCGTCTAGAATGGATTTCGGCGCGCGCCCCTTTTCGTCTCCAAAGAAAGAGCCACCGGAGCAAACACACGAGCGAGCAAACATCAGGTCGATCGAACGCGGACGTGCAGGAACACGGGCGGAAGAGGTGGAGAGAGGAAGATGACGACACTCCCGTGCATGGGCACCATCCTATGCTGCTGGCTCGTCGCTGCTAGACCAGGATCATGGACGAATTGAGCAGCCTGCCCACGCGTAGTGCGACGCGAACCCTGCCCCTGAAACATTCCAATATTCAATGGACGCGGTACTGAGCATAGCTGTACCATTCATTTCTTCACATTCTGTTTTGCCCAGCATCCAATGTTTTGCACGTCATCGGTTCATATGAATTTGGGTCGCCTCTATTGACGGGGAAAGACAGATCCCCCACAAAGCGCAGCCCCTAGAGAAGACCCCTCTGACGCACCAGTCAACACATCGAACCATGCCACTCTCAAGATGAAGGCTTGAGGCAGTGCCAGGAGACAGGACGGATGCACGGCGTGCTGGCCAGCCCGCAGCAGGCCAACTCGCGCACGGACCGCGGGGGGAGGGGGGAGGGGGAGAGACCAACGAGCAGAAGGAGGAGGAGGAGGAGGAGGAGGAGGAGGAGGAAAACGACCGCCACTGACCACACAGTGATAGCGATGGCGAGGGGCAAGCGATGAGAAGCCGAATAGGGGCAGAGGGAAGAAGGCAGGAGAAGAGCGGGCAGGAGCAGGGACGCACAGACCAGCACAGAGCACTTGCCGTCCGACTGCCCCCTCTCTGTGCTGGACGACTTGCGCGAAACGGCATGACCAAATGTGCCGGATCTGTTTCGCTCGCCTCGCAAGGGAACCTTCGCGCGACCCCGCCGGGGCACCTCCGGGTTTACGTCCGCCGCCTTCCAGCGGAAAAAGATGACAAACCTGTCGGTCCCTCGGAAACGAGGCCCTGTTCTGGAACGCTGCATTTTAGAGGAACGGAAACCAATATAAACATATTGTCTCGGAAGTCCACGCGAATTTCTTGGATTGTCGCTGGACCCCCCTCCCTGATGCGCGGAGCGGCGCCGGAGGCGCCGCCAGGGTGGCTCAACACCGATCCGAGAAAGTGATGTCTATACCAAGAGTCGTTCTTCGAGCATCTGGAGGAGACCCAAACATGCTGTATCCTCTATTTTTCAACTCGCGCTCCCCGGACCTTTCCCAAGTACCGGTTCTTCATCCTGAGCCGTTTTGTGGACGGTCCCGGGGCCAGGTGAGGGCCCCGAGAGGCCGCAAACCGCCAAAAACCTCCCGACGTTCTTTTTGTGCGTGTGACTTGTTATGTTTTCGCTTGTTTTTTTGTTCAACTTGTTTGGTAGCTTATCTTGTTTTTGCGCTGCTTTTTCACACGAAAGCGCCGAGCGAGCACGAGTGGGGAGGGACGGCGAGGCGACGGGGGAGCAGGGCAGAGGCGAGGAGGCACGAAGGAAGGAGGCGAGGAGGCGAGGAGGCGAGGAGGAGGCCAGGCGGAGCAGGGCAGAGGCGAGGAGGCACGAAGGAAGGAAACAGACGGCGGCGGCGGCAGCAGGCGCGCGGGCCGACGGGCCGCGGCAAGTCCCCCGCGGGCAGGGGCTCCGAGGCGCTCGCCGGCGCCGCCGGCGCCCACCAGCAACGCGGCGGCCAGCAGGCCAGAGGAGGCGCCGACGAGCGCGCGGAGGCGCGTGCGCGCGCGGGCGCCTCCGTCGGCCGAGGCTGCCGCCTCGTCCTCCTTCTCCTCCTACTCCTCCTCATCGTCCTCCTCCTCCTCCTCGTCCTCCTCCTCCTCATCATCATCGTCCTCCTCCTCCTCCTCTTCGTCGTCGTCCTCCTCCTCCTCTTCCTCATCATGCATCGCCTCCTCCATCGCCTCCTCCTCCTCCTCCTCGTCCTCCTCCTCCTCCTCGTCCTCCTCGTCCTCTTCGTCCTCCTCATCTTCTTCCTTTTCTTCCTCCTCCTCCTCCTCGTCCTCCTCGTCCTCCTTCTTCTCCTCCTCCTGCTCCTCCTCCGTCTACTCTTTTCCTCCTCCTCCTCTCCTCCCCCCCTCCTCCTCCTCCTCCATCTCCTCCTCCTCCTCCTCCTCCCTCCTCCTCCTCCTCCTCATCCTCGTCCTCCTCCTCCTCCTCGTCCTCCTCCTCCTCCTCCTCCTCCTGGTCCCCTTCCCTCCTCCTCCTCCTCCTCCTCCTCCTCCTTTTCTTTTGTTTTTCCCCACATCCAGAGTGGGGTTCTTGTTTTCCCAGAACATCCTCTCCTTCTCCCTCCCGCCTCCCGCCTCCCATATCAAAACCATGTCCCACCCCTCCACGGGAGGCCCCGCCTGAGCGAGGAGGGTATCGGAAAACCATACTATTTACATGGTTTCGTGCCCTTCCCACCTCTCCAGGGAGGCCCCGCCTGAGCGAGGAGGGTATCGGAATCCCATACCTATACTATTTACTTGGTCGTGCCCTTCCCACCACCTCCGGGAGGCCCCGCCTGAGCGAGGAGGGTATCGGAAACCATACTATTTACATGGTTTCGTGCCCTTCCCACCCCTCCAGGGAGGCCCCGCCTGTATCGCGAGGAGGCTATCGGAAACCCATTTTACATGGTTTCGTGCCCTTCCCACCCCTCCAGGGAGGCCCCGCCTGAGCGAGGAGGGCATCGGACACCCATACTATTTACATGGTTTCGTGCCTCTCCCACCCCTCCAGGGAGGCCCCGTTTGAGCGAGGAGGGTATCGGAAAACCATACTATTTACTTGGTGTCGTGCTTCCCCACATCCTGAGTGGCCCACCCCTCCAGGGAGGCCCCGCCTGAGCGAGGAGGGTATCGGAAACCCATGCTATTTACATGGTTTCGTGCCCCTCCCACCCCATCCAGGGAGGCCCCGTCTGAGCGAGGAGGTCGTTAATTCGTGTCGTTCACCGACTTGCACAACCCCGGCTAGTTCCTGAGTTGTGATTTGCCATCTCCCTGTTGCGCTTTCGGCCGTACGGGGGCGTTCGCACGTGCTGCAGCAAGGGTAGCAGAACGTGCTGGTGGTGACTTGTTGCCGACGCCATCTGGCACAAGCCTGCCCCGGTCACTCCTTCTCAGGATTTCGCGGGAGGAAGGAGGAGGGGGAGGAGAAAGGAGAGGTAGAGGAAGAACAAGCAGAGGAAGAGAAGGGGGAGGTGGAGGAGGAGGAGGAGGAGGTAGGAGGAGGAGGAGGAGGTACATGCGTGCCGAATCGATGGTAATCCATACTTCAGGGCCCGCCTTTTAGGGCCCGCCTGAGAAAGACGGCGACGCCGACGCTGCCGACGACGACTACGACACCGACGAGGGCGAAGACAGAGGAGGAGGAGGAGGAGGAGGAGGAGGAGGAGGAGGAGGAGGAGGAGGGGGAGGAGGAGGAGGAGGAGGAAGGACGAGGAAAAAGATACCACCCAGATCAACCTCACGAATCGGACCTTGGACGCCTGGGCGACTCACCCGCCCGCCCGACCCTCCTCCTTCTCATGTTCATACTCCTGGCCATCCTCCCGCTGCTGCTCCTGCTGCGGTTCCTGCTGCTGCTCTTCATCATCATCCATCCTATCCTCTTCCTCCTCCTCCTCCTCCTCCTCCTCCTCCTCCTCCTCCAGGAGGGTATCGGAAAACAATGCAGTTTACACGGTTTCGTGCCCCCCTTCCACTCTTCCAGAGAGGCCGCGCTTGAACGAGGAGGGTCGCGGCAAGCATTACTCTTTACCAGGTTTCGTAGCCCTCCCCCCTTCCAGCGGGGCCCCGCCAGAGCGAGGAGGGTATCAAGAAACCGTACTATTTACAAGGCTTCGTTTCCTGAGCACCTGTCCTCCCTCCTCCTTTCTTTCGTCTGCCCTGTCGTGCGTACTTACTCGTTCGATGAGCTATTCCTTCGTGTTGATGTTGTCGTACCCCATGGGTCCCACGAAACCGTCAATATCTTTAGGTGGGGAACTCCGTTAGCATATTTTTTTCCTCCGCCTCCTCCTCCTCCTCATTTTCATCCTCTTCCTCTTCTTCCTCCTCTTCCTCCTCTTCCTCCTCCTCTCTTTGCCGAGGCGAAGGCGCGCAGGCCCGCCCGCCGCGGGGGAGAGGGGGGGGGGGATGGCGGCGGCAGGGAGACGGAGGCTTAGGCGAGGCAACGCACGGCGGGCTCGAGTCGCGGCGACGTGCGCGTCGGCTGCCGACACCGCGTGGGTCTTTCCACCACGAAGGATCACATGAAGGGGCCCCAGGACACACGAATAAATACACACAAATACAAATATTCCCCATATTTTCCCATATTTTCTGGGTTTCTGTCTTCCCCCCCGCTTCCCATATTTTCCCTTCTTTTCTGGGGGATCGACGATCAATTGTGTCTGTGAGTTTTTTCCCCTCCTGATCATAGCGGTCGCCGAACCGATTCGGGAACCCTGGCGTGGCTCGACCTGGAAAGTCCGCGGCGGGATCGCCCACGGACCGGCACGACGCGAACCTACCGCAGGGCAGCATGCCAAGAACTGGCCCGGTCGCCCGCGGACCGGGGTGGCCGCGGGAGGAGGGCGGGCAGAGGAGGAGTCGGAGGGGGGCGGGGACGGGGAGGACGGCAGGGCATGCCAAATTTTGCCCTCGACCCTCGAGGGTCTATGGGGGGACTCGCCGGGCCTTCCGTCGGCCTCCGCCTCCGCGGGGGCCTCTGCGGCGGGTCGCCGCAGAGGCTCCGAGTCCTGCCGCCGCCGCGCACTGCGGGCTCCGCGCTCGAAGGTCCCCTGGGCTCAGTGGGCCCTGGAAACGACAGGGCCGTTTTTTTACAGGTTCCGTTTTGCCATTTTTTGCAAGTTCCGACGCCAATTTCTTACCGGTTCCGTCGCCGTGTTTGGACCGGTTGCGGCGCCGGTTCCAATCCTGGAACCGCTGGAACCGTTCATGTGCCGTTTCCGGTCGCCGTTTTTTTGCCGTTTCCATTTTCAGGGGACATTTTTTGGGGAAACGGTGACAAAACGACCCTGCCGTTTCCGGGGCCCACTAAGCCCCTGGGTGTTGTCCGCTGCTCGCACCTGCACCTCCTGCCGCTGGGCCCCCGGTAACTTGCCGCCCTCCCTACACTCCAAGGTCGCATGCGAAGGACTCCCGCACGTCGGGGATGGCGTCTGTGGTAGCTGCTGCTGGACTCCAGAAGGCTTTGTCGCGGCGTTGCTGTCCTCCCGCTGCTGCGCGATGTCGCGGCCCCACCCGCACGCGCTGGTTGTCCACTTTGTGCGCGCCCCGACGAGCTCACCCGTCTGGCGCCTCACGCAGTTCAGCTCCCATGGGAAATGCCCGGTGGTCGTCCTGCTGTGGTCACTCATGAACCCGACGAGCTGCCTGGCGCCGTCGATGGTCTCGTCGCAGTGTCGACCTGGATCTTCTGAATATGAGCCACTTGCGCTCGCTCCCGTTCCTCCTGATGGTTGAAGCTCTTGCAGTCCTCGATCCTCGCCAAGCTGGTGCTCAGCCTCTCCCGCTGACGGTGCGGCCCGGAGAGCACGTCGTTGGCTATCTTGCCGTAGTTGTTGCAGACCTCCATGGTGGACTGCTTAGCGCGGCGGGCCGTCTGCGGGCAATAAGACATTGTGCCGAGGATCTAGCTGTGGTCGTCGCCCCTGTAGCGATATCTGCCCTCCGCAATGGTTCTGCGCAGCGCTCCTCTGTGGAATGCGCTGGCGACCTCGGCCGGCCCCACGATCGAGCCCCGCGTGCTCGGTCCACGTCGGCTCATCATGGGTGCCCGCAGTCCCCCGGTTGGTTGGCGTGCATCTCCGGGAGAAGCGTGGGACACCGATCCGAGCTGCTCGCTGGGGACAACAACGGGGGGCGCGCCGCTGCAGCGTGGGCACGGCGGCCTCAACTGCCGTGGCGGCCCACTGTCGAGGGCCCTGACCGTCCTCCCAACAGTCGTGGCCATCGTGGAGGTGGCCCCCCGGTCCTCCCTCCCGGCGGGCGGGCGCGCGCGCGGGGGGTGGGCGGACGGGGAGAGAGGGTTTTTTTTGGGGGGGGCGGGGGCTTTGCGAGGCTGGGAAAAGGGGGTGGGGGGGCCAGTTGGGGCCGCGTATCTGGGATGTCGATGTAGGCGCGGGGCCCCATGCCGGACTCCTTCGTTTCCCAAGTATGTAGCGTGGATCGCAGTGGTGGGCAAGGACGTGAGGAATGATGCGGGCGTCGCGCGTTGCCTCCGCGGTCGGGGGGCGGCGCCTCAGTGGCGTCACCCTCGTGAGAACCCCCCCCCAACGTAGCGCAGCACTCCCTCGCGCCATGGTCTCGTTCGCGCTGCGCCGCGCGCTGCAGTCGGGCCACGTGGCCGCCCTGTCTCTGGGCCTGGAGTTCATTCTGCATGTCGCATTGGCTGTGCCGTGCTGTTTTTTGACGTCAGTCGGCTAGGCGTAAGAGTGACCCTGGGCAAGAGTGACCTTTGGTGCGCAGCTGTTTGGGGCGCGAGGGAGCCAACACCCAAGGGCACGGGCCGCTTGTATCGCATCGCGCTCGGCGATCAGGGGGGAGCCTGATGAGCCCGCACCAAAGGTCACTCCGGCGAAAGGTCACTCTTACCTCTTACGTGTAGTCGAGTCAGGGCTGTGGCGGCGCAGGCGGCGACGCATCCCGGGCTGCCTCGCCAGGGCCGCGCGGCGGCGCGGCGCTCGGGCGCGCTGCGCTCTCGGGCCGAGGCGGGCTCCAGCGAGGGCGGGGGCCGCTTCGTCATGACGGCATCTCGGGAGCTGCGCTCCCCCACCTCGCGCTCGACCCCCGACCTCGGTGCGCAGCGCAGCCCCGTGGCGCCCCCCAAGAGTTTTTGTTGTTGTTGTTTTTTCCCCAACCCTCCTGCGTTGGGTTCTCGTTTTGAATAGAGCACTGCTCGCGCGAACCTTCCTTCCTTCCTTCCTTCCTTCCTTCCCGTCCCTCTCTTCCCCCCTGGCTTTGACCTCGCTCGTCGCCATCCCTGGGGGGCAACGATCTGTGAAACTGTCGCCACTTTCGAAGGCTGCTGGGAGGCCCAGCACAGTGGGTACTCACCGCAAATTCAAATGGGACCTCGCCATCCCTGGGGGGCTGCGATCTGTGAAACGACCGCCACTTTCGAGGCCTGCTGGGGGGCTCAGCACAGTGGGTACTCACCGCAGATTCAAATGGGACCTCGCCATCCGGGGGGGGGCTGCGATCTGTGAAAGTGTCGCCACTTTCGAGGGCTGCTGGGGGGCCCAGCACAGTGGGTACTCACCGCAAATTCAAATGGGACCTCGCCATCCCCGGGGGGCTGCGATCTGTCAAACTGTCGCCACTTTCGAAGGCCGCTGGGGGGCCCAGCACAGCGGGTACTCACCGCAGATTCAAATGGGACCTCGCCATCCCCGGGGGGCTGCGATCTGTGAGACTGTCGCCACTTTCGAGGGCTGCTGGGGGGCCCAGCACTGTGGGTACCCACCGCAGGCTCAAATGGGAACCATCCATCGCCATCCCAGGGGAGCTTCGAACATTCAATTGTCGCCAACTTTCGAAGGCTGTGGGGGGCCCATCAACAGTGTTGATCACTCACCGCGATTACCCCCTCAGACCTCGTGCCATCCCTGGGCAACGATCTGTGAAAGTGTCGCCACTTTCGAAAGCTTGCTGGTATGCCCAGCACAGATGGGTACTCACCGCCAATGTCAAATGGGACCTTCGCCATCCCTGGGGGGCTGCGATCTGTCAAACTGTCGCCACTTTCGAGGGCCGCTGAGGGGCCCAGCACAGTGGGTACTCACCGCAGATTCAAATGGGACCTCGCCATCCCTGGGGGGCTGCGATCTGTGAGACTGTCGCCACTTTCGCGGGCTGCTGGGGGGCCCAGCACTGTGGGTACCCACCGCAGGCTCAAATTAGACCTCGCCATCCCTGGGGGGCTGCGATCTGTCAAACTGTCGCCAATTTCGAGGTTTGCTGGGGGGGCACAGCACAGTGGGTACCCACCGCAGACTCAAATGTGACCTCGCCATCCCTGGGGGGCTGCGATCTGTGAAACTGTCGCCACTTTCGAGGGCCGCTGAAAGGGGCCCAGCACAGTGGGTACTCACCGCAGATTCAAATGGGACCTCGCCATCCCTGGGGGGCTGCGATCTGTGAAACGGTCGCCACTTTCGAGGGCTGCTGGGGGGCCAGCACAGTGGGTACCCACCGCAGATTCAACTGGGACCTCGCCATCCCTGGGGGGCTGCGATCTGTCAAATTGTCGCCACTTTCGAGGCCTGCTGGGGGCCCAGCGCAGTGGGTACCCACCGCAGGCTCATATTAGATCTCGCCATCCCTGGGGGGCTGCGATCTGTAAGACAGTCGCCACTTCCGAGGCCTGCTGGGGGGGCCAGCACAGTGGGCACTCACCGCAGATTCAAATGGGACCTCGCCATCCCTCGGGGGCTGCGATCTGTGAAACTGTCGCCACTTTCGAGGCCTGCTGGGGGGCCCAGCGCAGTGGGTACCCATCGCAGACTGACATGGGACCTCGCCATGCCTGGGGGGGCTGCGATCTGTGAAACTGTCGCCACTTTCGAAGCCTGCTGGGGGGCCCAGCACAGTGGGTACCCACCGCAGATTCAAATGGGACCTCGCCATCCCTGGGGGGCTGCGATCTGTCACACTGACGCCACTTTCGAAGCCTGCTGGGGGTCCCAGCACAGTGGGTACCCACCGCAGACTCACATGGGACCTCGCCATCCCTCGGGGGCTGCGATCTGTGAAACTGTCACCACTTTCGAGGGCTGCTGAAGGGGCACAGCACAGCGGGTACTCACCGCAGCCTCAGATTAGACCTTGCCATCCCTGCGGGGCTGCGATCTGTGAGACTGTCGCCACTTTCGAGGGCTGCTGAGGGGCATAGCGCAGTGGGTACTCACCGCAAACTCAGATTAGACCTCGCCATCCTTGGGGGGCTGCGATAGGTGAAACCGTCGCCACTTTCGAGGGCTGCTGAGGGGCACCGCACAGTGGATACTCACCGCAGACTCAAACTAGACCTTGCCATCCCTGGGGGGCTGCGATCTGTGAAACTGTCGCCACTTTCGATGGCTGCTGAGGGGCACAGGACAGTGGGTACTCACCGCAGACTCAAATTAGACCTCGCCATCCCTGGGGGGCTGCGATCTGTGAAACGGTCGCCACTTTCGAGGGCTGCTGAGGGGCACAGCACAGTGGGCTTCCCGCACGTCTTTCTCCTGCTCTTCGTTCCCGACTCCCCATATCCTCTTCGAGCCTGTAGTTGTCGCCCCTCGTTCTTGTATGGTTCTCCTGCGCATCATGCCATAGGCGCGTGTCCCAAGTAGCTTACATATCAAACAACGGATCCTGCAATTTGATTGTCCATGCAAGTTTCGGCCCACCCCTCGTTTCCCATGATACCAATGGGTTGGGTACGTCACAAGGTATTTTTTGTGGTCACTGGGATCGCCAGGCCGAGGCTGGAGATGAACAGGCCTGGCCCGAGCGCCGAGGGACGTCTGGCACTGCTCGTCGCTCATCTTGACCTGCCCCCTGATAGCTGCCCTCGGGTTCGGCGCAGTGCCGATCGCGCACCGCGCCTTCCTCGCGAGGCCTTCGCCCATGTCGTCAAGCTTCTGGGACGCCTTCTGCGCCGTGCACGTCGGGGGGGCCCCCCATGACTGGTTCACCTGCTCCATGAGCTCCTCTAGGGTGGGTCAGCAGCGCGAGCATGAGGTGTTTTTGGTCTGTAATGATAGTGTTCATGCCGCTCGTGCTGCGCACTGTTCGAAGGCTCGGGCCGCTGCCAATCTTTATGCGTGATTGAACCCCCCACACCGCCGGTCCTCTCGTGACATAGACAGTTCTGTCGAAGTCGTTGTTGCATTCGCTGTCGCTGTAAAACTACTATCCCCCCACCACTGGAGTGGTGCGGCACCCTGTCTGACACAGTTGCCTCTGGAGCCTGTCTGACACAGTTGTCTCTGGAGCCAGTCGCTCAAAAAGGCTGCCAATGTTTCGTGGTAGTTCGAAATGGATTTGGGCGCGGCGCATAAGCAAACGTCGAATGCGTAGTCATACTGATGTGTAGTTAGTCGGATGCCCGCGGTTCTTACCTGGAGTTGGGCTGGTGGGGTGTAGATCGCATGCAGTGCCCTGTCATTGGCTGATGGACAAAATTGCCCCCCATGACCTGTTGACCCACATCCCTTTTCCTGGCCCAGATCTGGCGGTGGGTAAGGTGAGGTGCGGTAGGTGAGGTGGGCGTGTTTACGGAAAACGCTGAGCAGGATGAAGTCCCACGACTTGAGTTTACAGCTAATGCCCTCCACTCTTGCTATTCCGATAGCCTCCACGGGGCTGTTACAGCATATGCCCCTTGCCGGCCCCCCCAGCCCCTCTGCCCCCCGGTACACTTGCACATGAGGTACGGTCGGTCGGCACCTGTGAACCTCATGCAGCGACTAGGAAGATGAAGGGGAGGAGGGGCAGGGGCGGAGGGGGGCTGGCGAAGCAGCTGGAGGCCCGGTGGCTGGTGGGACGGAGAGGTACCGCTGCCGCTGCTTCCCGGACCCCTCCCGGGCTGGGTTCCGACCCGGATCCCGGGGCGACGTGGGCTGCTGGGCTCTTCCGCAGGAGCAGCGGCATCGGCTCCTCTTCCTCCTCCGAGTTCCCCGCTGCCCGGGCGCCTGCTGCACGCGGCGCGCTTGCCCTGGGCGCCCCGCCCTGCTCCTGACGGGCAGCGTTAGGGGGGGGGGGACTGGTGCCGGAGGAGAAGCATCAGCCTGGAGTCGGCGATACGTCGCCGACAGATCGGCGACAGGCCCCCGATAGCGACACCGCGCACTCCTGGGCGGGGTGGGCTATCGGGCCCCTATCGACGATCCCTGGGAGATCCGGGGGTCGGTGCCTCCCCCCTCGGAGGCCATCCCTCACTGACGTTGCCCCTGCGCTCCTCCGAGTCCGAGCCGCTGCTGCCGCCGCCGCCACACGGCGCGGCCTGGGCTGCGAAGGCCTGGCGGGGGGCCGCGGCGCGCTCTCCGAGAGCAAGAGGGGGGCCGCCAGAAGCAAGCAACGTGTTCGACCGTGGACCCCGTGTTGCCCACCGCTCCGCAGGTCTTCGGCGGTCTTCTGGCGGTCTTTGGTGGCTTCCAGCGGTCTCCGCCGCGAACGCTGGATGGCTGCGTTCAACAAGAGGTCCATGATCGGACACCCAAGGCACGGACGCATCCTCTCGGTGCCTGTCTGAGCCAGCTACGGTCGGGAGCTTCTGCTCTGCGCGTCGTCGCAGCGGCCCCAGCGACACGCTGTGCCCTGCGAGCGGATGGCGCGTCGCTCCGCTCCGCTGGACGGGAGCCTGGGCAAAGCTTGGGCCGATGCCGCCCCAGGGCTGGGACGTGGTTAGCCAGCGCGCCGCGCCGAAGCGTGGCGGACCAAACATCTCCGACCACACGCTTGCAGGGCACCGGGATCGCCCCCTGCAGCCGAAGACTTCGGGGCAGGTTTCTTGTGGGGCTCGGGTGCCCCGTCTGCTGCCCAAGAGTGCCACGGAGTGGTGCGAGCCAGCGAGCGCTGGCGGCCAGGAGCGAACGGGAGCATCAATGGGGGCAGGCAGCGCGAGGTTCAGTTTTTGCTTGGTCGCAGGGATGTGGGGCACAGCGCGTCGGGGCCAGAAGGGGCCGCGGGCTGGTCGACTGTGCACCCGCGCGGCGAGAAACGAAGGAGGGGGAGGAGGGGGAGGGGGAGGGGGAGGGGGAGG